TGATAGGTATGTTAAGAATTATTATGGGTAAAAATGACTTTTTAATAGAGAAATGGAAGAGTTTTTTGGGACGGATGAAAAAGAAAAGGAAAATGGTTTTGTGGGACAGATGGAGCATGTTTTATTTAATTATAGGTCAAAAGGTGAAAGTTGTAGACTATAAAAATAAGCAAATAATGAGAGACAAAGGTAGTAGTATATGATCCCTCCGCACAGGTGCAATTGAAGAGGGTGGGGAGTGTGTTTAGGTCGGGGCGGGGTGGAGGATTTACTGGGATTTAGGGGGGTATGAACTGTCAATTTTACGAATAGAGAATCGTAGCGGCCCCGGGTTATCCCATGACATAGGGTTCCAATGTCATGGGAACCCCTTCATTATTGTTAAAGTCTATTATTATTATTAACAATAACTATTATTAATTATTATTGGTTAATTATTATTATTATTATCTTTTTAATTATTATATTTATTAATTACTATAAGTACGATGATAATAAATTATTTTTATTAATTATTATTAATAATTATTTTTATTTTTATTGATTAATAACAGTAATAATATGAATTACTTTTATTTATTATTGTAATTAATATTATTATTGGTTAATAATAATGATTATTATCATTTTAACTATTATTAATAATTACTACTACTATTATTATTAAGTACGACGATTGTTAGAGTATATAACAAGTGAAATTTGCACTGAATAGGACTAAAACATAAGTCATTTCCCAATATAGGACTTAAACTTTTTAATTCTCTAAATAGGACTTAATAATGACTAGTGAGAAGAATAATATTCAAGTGATGTTGGACATTTAGTTGAATAACGACTAATAGATAATGACCAATGATCCTACATTGGGAAATAAAAACATATGGTCCTATATTGAGAAAGTCATTATGTTTTAGTCCTATTTAGGTAAATTACTCATATAACAATCATTCATGGGCCACAACCACAAGTTTGAGCTTTTGGTTGAGTTGGTTCCTTGACATGGTATCAGAGCCTTAATGATCAAGAGGTCACAAGTTTGAAACTCACTGCCACCCAGTTTAAAAAAATTAAGATTTCACGTGCAAGGCTAAAAAAGGTCACGTCTGCACGTGAGGGGGCGTGTTAGAGTATATAACAATCATTCCTGGGCCACAACCACAAGCTTGAGCTTTTGGTTGAGTTGGTTCCTTGACAACGCTAATAAATTATTATTATTCATTATTATTAATTAATAATGATAATAATAATTACTATTGTTATTAATTTATTTTTTATTATTATTCTTTTAAAATTATTTATTTTTTAAATAATTTTCTGATCTGAATAGATCTGATCTAATGCGAATGAATTGATGTGTTTGTGAGAGAACGAACCTTAATCTTACGGAATGTATACTAGGTGGAATTGGTGTATACTAAATGATAGAAAAAGTTGTCACATACCACAAATGAGTATATACTCCGTATATCATTTCACATTTTCACACAAATTTTAACTTCCTCCGTTCCCTTCTGCTAATATATTTTGACTTATAGTCTCTAACATAACACTTTAATCATTTTAGTTATATATAAATATGATATTTCAAATTATATTTTAAATTAAAATATTAAAATTAAATCAGAATTCAATATATTTTTACCTGTAATTTATAGTTAAAATTGTAAACAGTTGATTTTGCAAGTCAAAATTGCAAGAGGGTTGATAATAGACCATAACTTTGGGACACGTAGAGGACACCTTTGTCCTTTTCATTTGTTGCATTCCCAAACAATCCAATTGTTAAAAACCAAAGAGGAGATGAAAATAGTGATGAAGGCGAGGACAGATTTTGTTGAATCATTTCTTGATGGGTAATATTTAATTATATCATTTGAGAGACCATTTTTTTTTAATATGATGGGTGGGTTGGGTAGCGTAGGGGTGGGGGTGGGGTAGGTGCATGCATGCCTGTTTAATTTTGTCTGGTAATTAAATTTTGCATGAGAAGCTAAGATGTATTACTACTTGTGCAGTTTTGCTCTTTTGCATGATATACGCTCCACATCCAAAAAAATCTCACATTTTCTTTTTCTTTTCTTTTTAAAGATTGCATTTTGTTTTTTTTATTCTCTAAATAAAAATTTTTACTTATAGAAGGCCGAATTCAAGCGTTCACGATGAGATGGAAAGGATACTAGAAAATCGATCTAACCAATTTCCTTCTTGACTAATTAAGTAAAATTTTTTAAAAGAATTTCTTTTTACGCGGCAATCCCCGGCAACGGTGCCATCAGTGGCGGTTCCAGAAAAAAATATGAATGAGGGCAAATTCACACTAAAGAGTATGGTGAGGTTCAAGGGTGACTCTCGATTTTTTAAAGCGTTTGATAATGATAAAAAATAAATAAGTTTAATTTCAAACAAGTATTCAAATAAAAAAAATATTTCTAAAGTAGAAAAATAAAATATAAAATAGATCAGAACATAATATAATTATGATATTTCAAATATTTTACTTGTATATATTTTTAAGCGATTATTTTTTTACTTTTACACCAAGATTTTCTTTTGTCAGTGGGGGGGCAAATTAATTTTTTATCGGGGTCCTTTTTTAATTTTATACAAAAAAATTATTAATACTATTTATTACGGAGTAAAAAAATTGACAGGGAGCGACTACCCCCGTATTCGTACATGTAGATCCGCCCCTGGGTGCCATAAGAGTATTAGTAGTAGCAAATTTCTCTCAAAAGTGTTCCATTTATATATTTCGGTGTCATATTCACAAGGATTGACATCTAATAAACTCTTCTATTAAAACTAGTTAGACAAAGCTTACTAATTCGTACCGGAAGTTTTCTAATTTGAAATTGTTGGTTTGAGTTGAACAGAGTTCCTAAATTAAAAAAAAATTGAGGTTCCTCATTCCAAAAAAAAAAATAAAGTTCCTAAATTAAAAAAAATTATGAAAACAACAAAATAGGCCGAAGGAGTTATATGTCTTTTAAGACCAAAACAGAAGTTCATTACACTTTCATAATCACCGCATTGTCACATTCCAATTGCCACACTATCACTTCCATATTGTCATTCGTCACTGTCGCATGCCGCGTGCCACTGCGGATCACCGACAGTTGACTGAACACACTATCGTATTACACTGTTATCACTTTTCTATCACACTGACAGCATGTATTCTTACATCACACTATCATCATACTCTTATTTCAGTCTTAAAGACTTAGGCTCTGTTCCGTACGCCTGATCTGATTGAATCTGATATGAATTTTTGAAGTTCTCATCTGATCTGATCTGATTGAGTCTGATCTGATCTGATCTAGTTGGGTCTGATCTGATCTGATTGGCTCTGATCTGATCTGATTAGGTCTGATCTGATCTGATTGAGTCTGATCTGATCTGATTGACCTGATCTGATCTGATTTTATCTAATTAGATTTGGTGTAAATAAATTTAAATTTGATTTAAATTAAAATGAAAATTATTACCAAATTTAATAGTTTTAAAGTATTAAAATTCTTATATACATAAAAAAAGTAAAATAAGAAAATCAACTAATCATTGATATGTTTAAACTTTTTTTAATCTTTTTCAAATCTAAATATTAGAAAATATTGATGTTATTCTACAAAAAAACATTCTATATGCATATTACATAATAATATATATCATGTTACAAATTAAAAATCATATAAAATTTTAAACACTAATATCCCTTTCACCTCTATCAATTTTGTCTTTTTAAGTATAAAATATCTATGGTTTTGAAAACTAAGTTTTGTATAATTATTTTATAAACAAGTATTTTAAAATAACTCTTTTTAAAATATGAAAAATATAACTTTTTAAGCTTTAACATTGTTTCCATGCATCATTTCTACCCTACAAGCTATGAAATTATTTAAAATAATGGTTTGTAGTTGAAATAAAATAACAATAATAATAATAATAATAACAAGAATAATAATAATAATAATAATAATAATAATAATAACAACAACAACAACAAAAATAATAATAATAATTAAAATTATAATATTAATTAAGATTTAGGTTTGTGTAGATTTAAATAAAGTAATGTGATTAAATCAAATAATAGTAATTATTATTTAATCCTTGAAAAATATAAATATTATTTTTTATATTTTTTCTTGATTTCATATTATTGGATTTGATCTGATCTGATCTTATTGGATCTGGTCTGATCTGATTGGATCTGATCTGATCTGATTGGATCTAGTCTGATGTGATTAGATCTGATCTAATCTGATTGAGTCTGATCTGATCTGATTGAATCTGATCTGATTGGATCTGATCTGATCTGATTTTAAAAAGAATAAGTAATAAGTAGAAAAAATAAGTCCTACGGAACGGACCCTTAGAACTCCTATTTTTGTTTTTTTCATGTTCTTTACAAATATTGAGGGGGATTTCATAAATTAAAATGGGAGTGCCTACGAGCATTTTTGGCTCCATTTTGTTAAACTTTTTTTTTGCTTACTCATACTAAAATCAGATCAGATCTACTCAGATCATATTAGATTCATTTAGTTTGATTAGACAAGACCAGATCCAATCAGATCAGATCTAATAAGATAAGATGAATATAGAAAAATGTTGAAAATTAATGTTATTATTCTTTCTATGATTAAATAACAATTACTCGTACTATACAATTAAATAATGTTACTTAATTTAATGTCGCATATAATTACACAATAGTTACTATTCTAATATTAAATAAAATTGAACAACAACAATAATGTTACATATGGATGAATATTATTTGTTTTTGTTTCATTTTAAGAAGAATTATTTATTGAAGCAATCGTATCTTAGCTTTTTATTACTCCCTTTGTTCCAATTTAAATCGCTTGTTGTTGTTTTCGAGATTTGATTAAAATTATTTTCAACACAATTTATTTGAAAATTGGTGTAAAATTAAAAAAAAATAGAATTTACATATTTAAAAACTGCATCAATAAATGTACAAAATAAATGGTAACAATAATATATTAATTATATTATTAATTATGTAACAAAAAGGGAAAAGGACCAAACTAGGAGTAAGACATATGTCATGTCTCCAAAGTAAGAGTTCAAACTTAAACTCCTCTAAATAGGAGTAATTAACACAATTAATCTCATCTTCTCTTGCACACACAATCTCTTTCTATCAATCTTTCTCCCCATCACATGCTCCAGGCACCACTTCGGTTCCACGCCTCCACCCTCTTTTCTCTCTTTCCTTCAAATTAATATATATTAAAACATAGCTCTATTGTCTCTCAATTGTATCATGCGCTACCGGGGATGCGGCCCAGGTGCTACCAATGATGCCACCAATGACACCGCCTCAATCATTGCCGATGCCGGCTCTCCCAGCCGCCACCAATGATGTCACCGATGACATCGTCTCTGTCGACATCTATTAAAATTCCATCGATGTCAGTGATACTTCAATCACATTTATTTTTACAACACTGCCATGTTTTGTCGTCGTCGTCGACGCTGCCATAGTTTACTGCTTTCCCCATCACATGGCCTTAGCACAAGACGCCGCACACGAAGCCAGCCACCCTCGCTAAGCAGCTAGCGCTCAGCTACCGCCATGATTGCTCCTGCATTCCNGTTTAAGATGATACAATCACCCATTGTTTTCTTCAATCGTTACAAAATTTCCAAAAGTTCAAGATTCTAAACTTTGAATCATATCCACATACACAAAATCCCCAAGAACATGAATATGAATCATATTCATAAATCAAAAGAAAATCTCCCACTTTCATCGCGATAGTGCCATGTTAAGTATCCTTACAATGTTGTATATGGACTTAATGCCAAAGCTGGCAACACTCACTGTCACACACAAAATTGTATAATGGCAATCATGCTAATGTATTAAGGCACACATGTGATGAAAAAAGAATCCCATGTTTTTATCTCCAAAATTAGATATATATTCAGCTTTGTAATAAAATAAAAATTATTTACAAATTAAAATATAACCACTAATTTACAATCCCAAAAAACTCTACCTCGACGCCACTGTCACCCTCCATAAAACCACACTAACTATTTGTACAATGTCAAATAAGGGCATAATGTCAAACATGACAACACATAATGTCATACATAAATTTGCATAATGCCAGTTATGTCAATGTATAAAGTCACATATGAAAATGTATAATGTCAAACAGACACATAATATCAAACATGACAACACATAATGCAACATATGGTTATGTATATTGACAAACATGTTAATGTATAAAAGTAAAATAAAAAAGAGAAGTCATATAAAAGCAGCAATCTATGAACTAAAAAATACACAAACCCAATAAAAGCATTTCAATATGCCAGATATAAACTAAACAAAAGTATATATTAAGGAACTCATATTTTACAAGAACCCAATGAAAATCATAAAAACCTACAAGTATCATCTAAAACCCAGCTGAAGCCGTTAATGGATTCAGAGAGCAATGGCTGCAAAATCAATCAAGGCAACCATATTATTCAAGCCATAAAAGTCAGTCTTTCACACACTTTCACCTAAATTTATGGTTTTGAAATAAGTGACCAAATAAATCAGACTTACAGAGTACAAATTATAGCATTGCGCTCATTCACTCTATAAGATTAGAGCACAACAATGTACTTGCATTGACTATACAGAAGAAGCATAAAGTTTCACAATTATTCAAGAACATATTATTGTATCATGATATAATAATAAAATGAATTCCTGAAAGTTGATCACTTACAGAGGCAATTCCCCCTCCCTGAATAAAGCAAACTTGTACTTCTCAGAATAAGACTACTCAATTCCATTCTCCTTCAAGAACTCCTCAAATCCGCAATCATCCCATTCACTCTTTCTGGTTCATTGCTCTCACATTTAATCTCGTACAGAGTGCGGAAATTGTACGTAGTTTCATCCACTCCTAGCCTTACATCTCTCCAATCATACACATTATCCCTAACATTCAACCCCCCAACCCACAAACCCTAATTCCCCAATTTTGAATTTCTACTTTACCCTCCTCAGAATCCTTGAACCCAATTCACAGAGGTTCCTTCGGATGCTCTACGCAATCATACCTAGTTTTCAGATCTAGATCCTCTTCTTCTTCCTCCACTCTAGTTACGCCATCGACTAACACGACCTTCGCCTTGATTGAGACCACGCATGTAGGGGTCTCAAAATGTTCGTAGAAACGGAGGCGAAGAAGGGCGTGCTGCGAGCTGAGCGGAGCAACCACTTTGTCAAAGAGGATATTGCATCGAAAATGACGGAAAGAAGATTGCACAGAGAATAGACCATTGAAAATGATGGAAGTATTGAAATATGATTAGGATAAGATTACATTAATAACTCTTATTTAGGGAAGTTTATCTTTTAGGTCCTACTTTGGGTATAGAGCCTATCTTTTACTCTTATTACGGTGCATTTCTTCTAGCAAAAATGGGTAAAGAATATAATTGCAGTCTGACCCTATTAATAGTAAGCAGATAACATACATTGGGACAGAAGAAATATTCAATTAATGCTCTCAATAAGGATGTTCTAATAAGATCATCTTCACTAAATATGTTCTTTAGATCATTTTTAGTATGGTTGCTTCTGTGAGTTGCTTATCCAAAAAATATGATGCAGATCTCATGTGCAGCGACTAGCGAGCATCAATTGCTTAAGTAATCTTAAGAAAATGAGAAATACTATATTCACAAATAAAATTGTCACAAATTTTACAAATTTACTATTTATGAACTTTTATGAAAAATTAAATAATATAAAACAATTTTAAAATAAAAATTTAAGAATAAATGCTAAGTTTGTAAAATTTGTAACCACTATTTGTAAACCTAGCATTACTCAAAAAAAATTACTTATTAAAGCAATCAATCTTAAACTCATTTAAGCAATCCCACTAAAAATTTTCCAAACACTTCCATTTTTGAATTAATTGCATTTCATTTCACCGCAAATTAAACACTCGAGTTTTTTTAGAAATTGAATTCCTCTATTTATTTATTTATTTATTTTCTTTTAAATTCCCTCTGTCCCAAATTAATATTGATAATTTAATTTTGCATGAAGTTTAAAAAAAGTGAGATTGTGTAGTTGAAAGTGATGTAGAGAAAGAGAAAAAAAGGTGAGCACAAAAGGTTTTCCAAAAAAAAGAAAGAAGAAATTAATTTAAGATAGCCCAAAAAGAATATGAGAAGAATTAATTTGGGAAATAGAATTTAATTTATCTTTGATTGGAGCATTATTTATTTCCACCTAACAAATGGCGTTTATAGGTTTCCATCCAAATCACTTAATTAATCTAGGCACCCTACACCCCTTGATTTTTGTGTGCCTTGAATTCAAGCCTAACACCCTATGATTTTGTCTCTCTTGGCTTAATAACAAGACCAAATTTTCTACTTCATCTGTCTCTAATTTAATTACTACCTCCGTTCCAGAGTATTTGTCCACTTTCATTTTTACACATCATCCAATACACTTCTTTAATCTATTTTATCTTGTAATTTGTATATTAAAAAATTATTAATAATCTATATGTTAAAACAAATCAAACAAGATCACACATGACTATATTTAGGCTTACACATTGAGAGAATTTGATGAGTCAAAGTGCTTAGATGAACAGTTCCAAAAGTCAAAACTGGACGAATACTCCGGGACGGAGGGAGTATATATTAATAATCTATATGTTAAGACAAATCAAATAAGATCACACATAACTATATTTAGGTTTACACATTAAGAGAATTTGATGAGTCAAAGTACTTAGATGAACAGTTCCAAAAGTTAAAAGTAGACGAATATAGCAGGACGAAGGGAGTATATATTTTTCCCTCCGTTTGGAAAAAGTGTTCCCATTTTGATTTGGGGACAAAAATAAGGAAGTGTTAAATTATAGTTAATTTCCAATTTTGCCCCTGATGTGATGGGTAAAAGTAAGATGTGATGGATAGATTATTAGAGAAAAAGTATAATGTGATAAATAGGGTATGAAAAAGTAAGGGTAAAAGTGGTTTTTTAATAAAAAAGGGAAGTGTTTTGTTGGAAGTGGAAAAAATGAAAGAGGAAGTGTTTTTGAGAACGGAGGGAGTAGGAGTTACGAGGCAAGTTATCTACCGTACCCCTTCATTCCTCTTTTTTTGAAATTATTTTATTTACAAATTAGTATAAAATAAGAAATAAAAATCACATATTAAATAACTACGTCAAAAGTTCTATAAAACGAGAAGTGACAAAAATATTTTATTTTATCAAATATTCAACGAAAACATACAAATAAATAAAAGTTATCGAGAGGAGAAATGGAAAAAAAATTACTTGGTCTGTCCCTGAGTGTTTGTCCACTTTTGACTTTTGGAACTGTTCATCTAAGCACTTTGACTCATCAAATTCTCTCAATGTGTAAGCCTAAAATAGTCATGTGTGATCTTGTTTGATTCGTCTTAACGTATAGATTATTAATATATAATTTTTATAATTTTTTAATATACAAATTACAAGATAAAATGGATTAAAAAAGTGCATTGGATGGTGTGCAAAAATGAAAGTGGACAAACACTCATGGAAGGAGGGAGTATAATCTATTTCAGGACCGTGAGTATTTCTTTTTTTAGTTAAAACTTAAAATTAATGAGCTGAAGAATGAAGTGGCATAAAAGGGAGTCTGACATTAAATTAAAGACAATCCCTTTTCTCTGCATTTCTTTCTGGGCTTTGGGAATGCCATATTTTCTTTCTCCAATTCCTCTCTTTGAAATTTCCCTTTGAATAAACACACATAGGCCAACTTGGTGCAGAAAGCTCTTAACAGCTTTCACTTTTTCTTTTGAAAAGTTTTTTCAGATTCTCCACTTTTACATTCATTTCCCAGTGCAGTAATCTTCAGATGCTGAATGGGAAAAAAAGTGATTTTTTTTGTTTGGCAATTTTTGCATATACACAACAAGTTTAGAATATCCTACAATTGTCTTCCAAGTAGAAAGGTCAAGAAAGCAATAATGCAAGGAAAGAAAAAGCTAAGATAAAAAAAGAAAAGAAAATATGGACTTGTGAAAAGTTTGTCATCATCATCAAAGATTCAAGATGTGTGATAGGCATTGGCAGATCTATTCAGGAACATGGTACCACTGTACCTTCTTCCACATTGAAAACTAAATACTTCTAATTAAATACTCATTCGTCTCAAAATGTTTGTCATATTTCTTTTTTCAATAATCACGAGAATTTTTATTTATTTTTATATTTTACTGATTATTTGATAAAATAAATATTCTTGAGACATTCCATTTCAAAGAATTTTTTATGTAGTTTTTAAATATGTAAATTTTATTTTTTATTTTTATGTCAATATTTAAATAAAATAAATTGAAAAAACTTGATATTTAATGAAGGATCTTTTATCTGAGAGGTGTATAAGTCATATACTTCCTCCGTCCTATATCTTTCTTCCCGTTGCGCAAAACGAAGAAAAATCTCAAGCTTTTTCAATCTATTTTATTTAAATATTGGTATAGAAATAAAAAATAAAACATACATATATAAAAACCACATCAAAAGTTCAACAAAACAAGTGGTGACAAGAATATTTTATTTTATCATATAGGCCATGAAAAAACACAAATAAATATAAATTCCCGTGAAGTTGGAATAGTGCTCTAGGAAGAAAGTTTTAGGACGGAGGGAGTAATTTGTTAATAATTCAATTTCTGATGTGAGATACTTTAACATTAACAAAATATGTGCTCTAAATTTTCTTGTACACGTTTTTGACTAACATTTGAGCGAATTATGAATACTTTTTTTTAATGATGCACATTTAAAATTGCTAAAACTAAAAATCGTTCTTGCTAGGTTTTGAAAATTGCTAAAATCAAAATCTCTAAATGAATACCTAAAAACAAGCTAAGTTAGAACTATCAAATACTCTTTCTGTTCCAAAACTAAAATAAACTTCTTTCCTGGCTTAACTTGAGTGGTAGGAAGTTCATTCCTCAGAGTTAATGGGAAATTCACTCAGATTCGAGTCCCAGCGAAGGCGGAAACATTGACTCTTTGTGCATCATTAGGTTGAGAATAGTATGAAGAGATACTATTTTGTAATAGAATCTATAACATTAAAAAAAGTATGTATAAATACTCTATTCATATGTAAAAAATTAACTCCTATTCTTTACTTATATTCTTTAATCATTTAATAAAATTACATATATAATCATGATGTTTCTTGTATTATACCTTCCTCCATTCTAGAATATTTGTCAACTTTTAACTTTTTTGTCAAAATTAGCAAACTTTGACCTTAAATTAAATTAAAATGATACTAGACATTGATACAGAAATAGTTTGATTAGATTTATTACTCGTATTTAAAATATTTTCAAAATATTATTTTATCTAATCCATATACAATATACTCCGTATCTTTTATTTAATTATATGTCAAACGTTAAAAATAATTGACTGAAAAACTGGACAAATACTCTGTGACAAAGGTAGTAGACTTTTTGATGTACTCGTGACATTTAAATATATAAATTTTATATTCAAAACTTTTTACCAGTATTTAAATAAATTTTAAAAAAAACATTCAGTCAAGTCTTGTTCTCCATGAGGAGACATTGGGGTTATGGGACTGGGCTAAAGATGGGTGAGCTGAGTAATTCACAAGACACCCAAATAAAATAAAAGAAAATAAAAAAGAACCTTTCAATCTCAAACATTACTCGTATTTTCTAAAGCAAAAGATCATTTTTGAGCACTTCAAACAATTCTTTTGTGAAAACAAAAAAAAAATGCTTAAGTGGTTGCAAGCTTTGTCTAAAATTTTGGATCTTTCGGTGGGTGGTAGACTGGTAGGAAGGAATGTAGGATTTATTTTCTTTTTTTTTTTTTGACTTTGTAGGATTCATTTTCTTGTTGACCCATTTCTTTTTCTTACAAGATCATTTGGTTCAATTATGTCTCATTGAAGAAAACATAAAATTAGAATACCACAATGCTTCATTTTCAACATTTAAAAAAACCCTCTTATGAGATTCTATAATAACTTGATAAAACAGGGGGGAAATTTCCTTGCAGGAATTGTGGTGTTATAAGTGAAGAAATAACTAATAAATAAGTAAACTTTTTGGAATTTATTATTTCTTCACAATCACAAGAACAAGATTTTAGACACTAGATTTCTCTCTCTCTGGGTCTCCACAAAAAGGAAAAAAGAAGGTGAAAAGAAGAACACTTTCAGGTTCTTCAAGCTAAGAAACAACCTTTGAAAACCCAGATTTGTTTTCACTCAAAATTGATGGTAATGGCTGATTAGTTGGGTTGCTGAGTTCTTGAGACTTTCTGCAATGGGCAATTGCAGCTTCAATTGAGCTCTCAATCTCTGAAGTGCCACTGCTGCTCCTCTTGAGCTCATTTGATAGAAATCCAATTGAAGAAGATGAAGATGAAGTTGAGGAAACACCAGATGAAGAAGATGAGGAAGAAGATGAAGACAAACACTTGTTAGTTCTCTTGATTGCAGATGAAAATGACCTTCTGCTGTGACTATTCACCACATTTTCTTCAATCTCATCCTTCTCACCATTCCTGAGCACACTAGCAATGGTTGGGTTTGGAGAAGATGAGGATTTCACATGAACACCATCCAAATCTTGATTTCTGGGAAAAGGCTGGTGATCACTTCCAGATTTGATGAACAGCCCCTTGAGATAAGCCTTGATCTTGTGGCTGGTAGTCAGAGACTTCTTGACAAGTTTGAGCTTCTTTGACCAAGATTTCTTTGGGTGGGCATTGATGAGAGTGGACAGATCAGTTGACCAGGCAAAGTTGAAGTCTTGAGGGTTGAGCTCACAGCTCACCCTGCAAGATTCAGATGGGGAAATGTTGCAGGAGTCCAATGGAGTTGTGGGTGTTTTTGTGGGAGGTGCTGTTGAGCTTTTGGGCCATTTGGGGTCTTCAACAATGGTGGTTTGGAGGAGCTTTTGGACCATTTGGAGCCTTGGAGGGAGGTGAAGAGGGAGGAGGTTACCTCTGTAGAAGAGGTCATCTGCTGGGAAAGTAGGGGCCTCTTTCTCTGCAACACTTGAAGACATTTGGAACTCAAACTCTATCATCTGTGGTGAAGAAGATGAAGAAGGTGAAAAAGAAGAGTTTATAACTTCCATGTCAATGTCAATGTAGTCTTCATCTTCATCTTCTTCTTGTTCTTCATGGTCTGCAGATCTGTTGATGTGTTTTAATGGAGGGACAAAGGAACTGTGTGTGGCCATTTAGTTTTGTGCTGAGGAGATGGATAGATGCTTCTTGGGAGTTGTGAGCTTGTGTTGGTAGTGAGTGAAGGGAGAGAGCAGCAAGGCATCCTTTAAAACAAGACATGATGCCAAGTTAGAAAATAAAAAAGAGGTTTTTTTTTTCTTTTTTGGTAAAAGAAAAATAAAAATTAATAAGTTTAAACTAAAAATATGTTGGCCCTCGGTTTTTTTTTCATACAAGTTTTGATATTACAAATTTAAAATAAATTTTAACAAAAAAATAAACATCCCAAATACAATAGAGCAATTTACCTAAATAGGAATAAAACATAGTGACTTTCTCAATATAGGACTATATATTTTTATTTCTCAATGTAGAACCATTGGTCATTATCTATTAGTTATTATTCAACTAAATGTCCAGCATCACTAGGACATTATTCTTCTCACTAGTCATTATTAAGTTCTATTTAGGGAATACAAAAGTTAAAGTCCTACATTAAGAAATGACTTATGTTTTAGTCCAATTGAGTGCAAATTTCACCCACGATACAATACTCCTTCAACTTCAAAACAAACTTTGCCGTTTGACTTCACCAAAATTAAGAAAAATGAAAACCAGACAACTTCAACCACATTCAAAATTTTTTTTCTTAGATCTAATGCAGAAATGTAAAATCTAGAGTTTACTATGAGACAAACGGACTATATAAAATTAATTTTGTAACGGAAGGAATATATTTTACTAGGATATAAAAGAATTGCACCAACTTTGACAATATGGATATGGGAACATAATATATTCGTCTATGAACACACATAATTCACAGACGATTATATCTTCTCAGCGATTGTTATCTGTCAAAAGTTTAAAACTCGTATTTTATATATATATATATATATATATATATATATATATATATATATATATATATATATATATATAGGGGCCGGTTCCTGTAAGAATGCACCTTGTGGAGAGAAATGAGAATGAAATCTAGCCGTTGGATCTGATGCATCGTGCGGCTCAGATTGCATCCTACGCTTAGATTTTGAGATAGTGCATTTTCAAAGGATTATGATGCATTTTGACGTGATGCATTTTTTAACCATTTTGTTGCACCTAATTTTGAAATATAAAGGTAATCAATAAAAACTAAGCTCATACTGAAAGAAATCATAAAAAAATATGACGAAGTGGTGAGTCCTAATGTTTTAGGCACTGTGATATGGTATATTAACCTATTACTTCCTTTTATTCATAAAAAAAATATAATTATAAATTAAGAAATAAAAAAGTTAATTTATTATTAAAACCCTAAAAAATCATTGAAAAAAAGAGAATGGAGACACTATAGGATTGTAATCGGTATTAATACGATGGAGAGTTTTTTTAATATAAACAAAAGAGATTAATACAACCCAAAATGGAGACGATCATTTTGGAGAATGACTTAATTAGGAGTAAAATGTGGCTAAAATATTAAAGTAGGAGCTATGTTTTTTATTTCAAAATAGAAGGACAATGCCAATAATGTAAATATGAAGTATCGAAAAAATAGTAGAATGGCACTATACATTGACATAATGTCACAGCAGAAACTCTTATTTTTAAAATAAAAAACATGGAAATTCTATTTTGAAAATAAATAATACTCCGTATATTTTACTTCTATTTGAGGTAATTTCTTTCCATTTTCTTACTAAAAGAATTTATCTTTTCTAACTACCCGATCACCCAAAATTTTCTCCTTTTCTAACTTCTCTAAGATTCAATGATTTTTAGGGTTCTCTAGGAAAATAAATTTTTAATTTTTTATTTATATTTTCATTTTTTACGTGCGATAGGAAGTACGGAGTAATACATTAGTACTTCGTACACTTAACGGAAAAAATACATAGATCAATGACAAAGTTAATGGAAGGACCAACTATGCAACGCTAATGTGATTTGAAGGATTATTTGTGAAATTTTTAGAGTTGAAGAACTAATCGTGCATTATAAATTAACTTGAATGGCTAAGAGCTTCTTCTCTTCAAGTTATTCATATCACTTATTCTTATTGGAATCAGATCATACCAAGGTAATGCTCTCTTCACCTGATCTGAATGCTTCAGATCTGATTAGAATAGTTAAGATCTCATCTGATTTGAATGTAGTTATATTTAGAGCTATTTCTGATATGATCTGGTCTTGTCTGATTTAATCTGATCTAAACTGAATTGATTCCAATAAGAAAAAGAAATAAGTAATAATTATAAGTTGAAGAGAACATGGCCTAGGTCAAATAAAAAACGGCTTTCAATATAACTACAATTAGATAAGACCGGACCAAACCAAATTAGACCAGATCAGATCATAACTTATTCCAATGGGATCAAACCCAATAAAATCTGATGAAGAAAAAAGCCCTAATGGTGCAATTTAACCTAAGATTAAGTTTACAACACAGTTGAAATTATTGTTTTGGGTTTGTTGTTGGTTGCTTCTTAGTACTTTTATGATATTTTTTTTGTAGTACAAGATTCATCAATACATCAAGGATCTAGCAGAAACAACCCTCTTTCAAGGGGTTTCTTCTCTTCACTAGTTTTCACTATTTTTTTTTCTAATTGTTGAACATGCTATACTTCTTCTTGCCCATACAGTGACATATCCTAATAGGAGCTCTCATGAAGAGAAAAAAAAGAAAGTGCACTGCATGTACTTCTGCATTGAAAAGTACATACTACTAGGACCAGTTCTGAAAGTGATGCATGTGGTCATATCAAATATATATATATACATACAAATAAGTAAACAACATTTTCTTTCTGAAGTCAAAACAAGGCAAGTAGGGCTTTCAAAGTTCATGATCAACTTTGTGCCAAACCATTATTTTGCAGATGATGTTTGAGATATGATTAATGAATAATTAATTAATGTGTGTGGTTAAATTACATCTTAATCCAACCATCAGCTTTTAGTTGTGATGATGAGAACAGTAAAGCTCAATAGATAAGGCAGGTAAGAGACAACATAGAGTGGACATGCTTGGGATTGCAGACAATGTAATGTGAGATAGATATGATGAGACTTGGTTTTTGTTTGGGCACTGTTGGGCTCTTCTTCTCTGTCCATTTCAAGAATACAGAAAAATGAAGTTGGTTCATTTCATGCAGAGGAACTGGAGCCAAAGCTTGGAAAAAAAGAATTATTAAATGATCCAATATAATTGGGTGATTATTATATTGGGCTAGATTGATTCAAGGCATGCATGCATGACATACAGTGTAGTAGGCATTTCTTTGTATTTATAAGCTAGTCAAAACTACTTATAACTTGTTTTTAACATATATAAATCAGTTGATGACATATTCCTCTTTGCTTATAAGTTGACTTCTATGTTGCTTATAGGGCAGAAAAATAAGTAAATCTTACCTACTTATTTTTAAGCCAGTTTTTTCAAAAAACTACTTTGACCAGATTATTTACGAAATTCTTCCTCACCATTTATGAATATTCCTAAATAACTTATGTGTCATTTAATTCATTTTACTTCCATGAAAAAATATTTAACTTATAAGCAACTTATAACTTACAAAATTATTTATTAACAATAAGCCAATAAGCACTACCATAGAGAAACACATCAATTGTTGTTGTCTTTAATTAGACAAATACTAAGGACATTCATCTATCATCATAACCTAATAGCATTCACATAATCTCCTACATGCTATGTGTTCTCTCCATCCTAAAATTTTCTTCGGACTTTCCTACTCTGGTAGTCCTATAATTTTCTTCATGTTTCCATATAAGAAGAAAAATTGTGTTTGACAATGTTTCTATGAAATTCAGATAAAGAATTGACCATGTTTTTGGTAAAAAGTCACTCCAACCCCTTTCCCTTTGTGAGGAGTCACCCCTTCTCTATGAGTTACGGGCCTATTTTGCAATTTTGTTTTCTAAACAAGCGTGTCAAGTGTACGTAAGTCAGAAGATAATTTTTGGACACAGTGAGTAATTAATAAGGGATAATGAAATGACATTCCTATACTACAAGTCAACAACCACAACTTCATTCCACTTTTTGCAAGAAAAAGCATTGAAAATAAAATGGGAATTTGGCAAGTTTGATTAAAATGCTCAGTAGACAAACAAAAATATGTGAGCTCCAATGGATTTTTTCATGTACAACAGTGCAAATCCAATATTTACACCACTGGATTTGTATCCCTAGCTAACCAATTAAGAAGCCATCTATCAATCAGATTGCATATATTGAGTTAACTTCTGATTCAGAAAAGTCTGAATATCTCCATGAATTGTTCCCACCACCCCTCGAAAACTTCTGCTTTTTCCTCACTTTCCTAATCCTTTTGTACTTCACCACATAGTAAGTCATGGAGCCTAGAACCCCAGCCATGATCACCCCACCTATCACAGTAACAAGAACTGCGGCAAACCTATGCCGTTTCCCAACAACTATATAAGCCGATGAGACAAACGCGAGCGTGGTGCAAACCGAGGCCAACCACATCAACTTATTGATCACCTCCACAACCCTTCTTTCGGATTTTATTTCTCTCCTCACCACTGTGATTTGTACAACCACCACAGCCAGAGACGTGAAGAGTGCAACGGCATTGGAGATGAAAAAGATCTTGAAAGCTGAGGTGCCCACCATGACTGCCTTCCCATCTTCATCGTCGCCCCCGGGGACTGTGAAAATGGCCGAGAAGGCAACAGTGGCAAACAGCACGGCGACGACAGTGACTGAATTGGTGGCATTGTTGATTCCTTCTCTATGGAGTTTCCTAAGCTCCTTAGCAATGCCATTCATGTTCTTGTTAGTCTTGCGAGCGTGTTCGAGCTGTGTGTGTACATCTTTTTTAATCTCTGTTACGGTTTTCCTAAGCTCGTCGCGCGGCTGGTTTAGTTCCTTTGCTCTAATGGCACCGAAACGTGTCAAGCATTCCTTTATTTCTCCGATTTCTTCACAGAAAGAAAGCCCTTCAGCTATGTCAAGTGCTGTTTTGTTGTCTCTTGTCAGAGCGTTAACATTGGTATCACGGATCAGTAAGAGCTCATTCACTATCTGTGATATATATATATTGAAGAAATAAAACTTATGTGAGCCCATTTTATTCAAGAAGCTATTGTCATTCATGGTTCCATATGACCACAATCATATATACCATTAGTTGTGTTTAAAGTTACAACAGCAAACCAGTATATTTTTGGGGCCAAGATGTACACACAACTTCACCCCTCATAAAAGAGAGAGGTTGTCTCAGGACCCTTGATGCATTGCTGCATTTAATTTCCAAAACTTCATGGAAAGAAGCAAATGAGTAGCTTAATGTGTCATTTTGATTTAGTAAATTATTTATCCGAAGCTTAAATGTTGTCAAACATGACTCTTTTAGCACCGTTGGCAAAGGATTAAAGTTGTGTTTAAATCTCTATTCTAAAATCCTCGACTATCTCAACCTCGACCTTTTATACTCACCATCCCATAAAAAGGGTATTGTTTCACAAAGGTACAACTCTTAGATTTTAACCAGGTACAACTATTTAAACATCATAAAATATAAATATATTTGACGCCACCTAATCCCGACTATATGGATGAACATATATATATATATATATATATATATATATATCGAGAAAACTACAAGAGCTGCAGAAATAAAATAGGGTCATACCTCAACCCTCTTTTTCCTTGTGGCAACATGCAGAGCAGTATTACCAAACTTGTCAGGGAGCATAACAGTGGCTGCATCTGCCTGGAGAAGCAGCCTTACCACCTTAGAGCTAGTGCCCTTTGCAGCCATGTGCAAAGCAGTTTGTCCTTTCTTATCAGTTCTTCTTGCCAGTTGCGGGTCCTTTCCCAGCAACACTTTAACGACCTCCACGTGCCCCTGGCGCGAAGCGAAATGTAACGCATTCTTGCCATTCGACTTGGCGATCTCTAACAGGCTAGAATCCTTGGTGAGTAACTCATTGACAACTACTGCATGACCTTTAGTGGCTGCTGATATAAGAGGAGTTGCATTCGATTGACCGACTGTCTTGCTTAGTTCCGAATCGTGATCCAACAGCAACTTTACAATAGCTGCACATATATAACAAGATGACTGCATATGGAACATTCTTTTTATGAAATATTTGCACTAAATAACACTAAAATTTAAGTCATTTCCCTAAATAGTACTTAAATTGTTTTATTCCCTAAATAACACTTAATAAAGTCCAAAAGGAGGAATAATGTCGAGTGATGACGGACATTTACTTGAATAATGACTAATGCATAATGACTAAATGTGCTACATTGGAAAAAAACACATATGATGATATTTAGGAAAAAGTCATTATATTTTACTATTTGAATAAATTTCCCTTCTTTTTATTCCATAATTTCATGCAGAAGTTATGTATCTACTCATTGGGATGGATTGAAACAGTCACATACACAGTCAATGATGAAATAAATTTGAAAAACTGCATTGCACATAGCTGCAAGCCTGCAACTACTTATTATTCTGTAACTAAAAGCTTAAACATTGTAAGACACAAGACTTGATGAGCAACCAACAATCATTTAAAAAACAATCAAATTTGCAACATTTTCTTGCAGGTGGAAAGGATTCATCTTCTAGGGGGGAAGAAAAGAGTCCCAAATGAAATGAGCACATATCTATGAAGTGAATGCAGATTATCAAATGGGAACTACCTACCTTCATGGCCTTGATTGGCAGCAATGTGCAAGGCATCGAAACCCGACCGATTCTTAATAGTAATCCCCTCTTTGGTTGTGTAAGGAAGCAACTCCTTAACCACATCAATGTATCCCCTCTCAGCCGCGGTGAACAGTGCCGTCTCCCCCAATTCATTCACCTCATTCACCATGGCTGCGCTAATCTCCGCCACCTCCGCATCAAACTCAGCCCCGGTCATCGTCTTGAGCATCTGCTCGTTAATCTCTTCCAGGATCAGCCTCACTGCCGCCAGATCCCCGCGCTGAGCCGCCAGATGTAGCTCCGTGTCATTGTGCTTGCCGGTCACTTGCTTCACGTACTTCTTCTTCCCGGAAGCGTCCATCCTTTTACTGGAACTCGATGCCAGCAGAGCCTTGGCGGAATTAGAAACGAGCAAATCCTTGGCAGAGTTAGACACGGCCAGCGACTTGCTGGAATTGGAAACCACCAGTGCCGGCGCTCGAGGGGACGGAGAGGGAGACGGCGACGGAGGCTCTCCGTACGCGTTGTTCGGATTAGGGCTAGACATCCCCATCTCCGGATCCATTCCGATTTTTATCTTTTCACGATTACAGATTCCAAAAATTTAACGACGAGAAGAATACGGATGCAATCATGACAGTAATATACAAATTAACATTATCTGAAGAAGGAATTCATCGATGTGGTGAGGCTTTCTATATAAATATGCAAATAAACGTGACGCGATATGTATGAGTCAAAATAGGGTTACAATAAATATGTAGGACTGCCGAGAAGAGAGAAATGAGAATGGCGGTGATGCTGTCGGAGAAGGAGGAGGAGGCGACGGCGGTGATAAAAATGGTGGCGGTGGTGGTCAAGGGCGGAGCCAGGTTCAAATATTTGTGGGTGCAATATTCTCTGAGTATTTAAATTGGTTTAATACAAAACAGAAAAAACAAGAATTTTATTTAAATACCACCATATAAGAAAAAAAAATCTAATTACAAAAACTGGCAAGTTGGATGGAGAACAATGGGCAATACGTGGCTGAGGACCTTGGACTAGCAAAATTGGTTTTGGGTTATTTTTTTGACCAATTGAGGTTTTTTAATTAAGAAAAAATAAAAATAAAAAGAGAAAAAAGATAGATCTCGTGAAGAAACAGATCTGCAGCAACTAAAATTTCCTCTACCCTAGCGAGAAAAAAGAAACATATGTGGTGCAACTAAAATTTTCTGCAACACCTATTGCTAAGTGGCTCTTCGCCGGAAAATTCCATTGCCGGAGTTGCGTCGGGACACTCCTCTCTCCTCTCCTACCTCAAGAAAATTGGGATTGCAAATATTTGTGAATTTAATGGAAATGGAAGTTAACTACTCTAAATTATACATTAAACATGAAATTGGAGTGACTGCAATTGCAGCCACTTGCACCAATGTAGCTCCGCCCCTGGTGGTGGTGGTCATGGGAAGCCCGGAGGGTGTGCAAAGTAGCCAACCGCACAGGGCACATTAAAATTTAGAGCACTAAATTTTTAAATTTGTTAATAATTTTAAAGCAAAAGTATTCTAAAAATATAAAATAGGGCATAAAATGTAAATTTTGGACCGGGCCAATTTTATTTTTTTATTTTTCGGGGCCGGCCCTGGTGATGGTGGTGGTGGGAGGGGAATAAGAGAGGGAAGCATGATGAAGACGCCGCCGGGGGGATGGCAATCTTAACGACGCGAGAGGGGTCGCATAATTCGGATTCTTTTTCCCGCTAGGAATTGGTTATTGTTGACTTTCGTTCGTTATGGAGCCGTCAACTCACAACTCATTGTTGTGCTCGGGAACATCCCCACTAATACTACTCCTAAGTAAATTTGCAATCCCACTAAATTTATTAAGTAATACTTCCTTCGTCCATAAATATTCTTCCCATTTGGTGTTTACGGTCTTCAAAATTGTATTTTGACCTCCAATATCTTTATTTATGTATAGATATATTTTATAAAAATTTGATATGTAAAAACTATATTTCAAAATGAATATATTCATATTAAATTTATATCGTAATACAATGTATTTTTTCCACATATCATAGTCAAAGTTTACAAACTTTGACTAAGAAAAGTCGAATGGGAAGAATATTTTCAGCGGAAGGAGTAGTAAAATGTTCATTTTGAATAATTTTTTGTTGAAAAATGTTAGGGATATACCAAAGGTGTACCCATTTGTCCCCTACCACCTCTTTGTCCGCATAATTGGGCAAGAAAATAAAAAAATAAATAAATAAAAATCAAATAAAAATAAGTGGTGGAGAAGGGGGTGGTGTACATTTAGGGTACACCTTTGGTGTACCACTAGCATTGCTCTTTTTTGTATTGGTTTCATATCAGTTAAATGTTTATTTTATGTAAAATAAAATGTTTATTTTCACACATTTAAGAATGTGTGTTTAAACAAATTTAGAAAATAAACATGATGTTCATTACAATTATATAAAATGATTATCTACGAGTAACATATTTTAATTTAGAAATACTCACGGTATCATAGGACACTACCAACCACCTCAATCCTGAAATAGACCACCACCACCTACATCTCGAAGGAGGCGACCGCAGACGATGTGCGTTGCTTCAAACATTGCCACCACCTCTGTTCATCTCATTTGCTGCACCTTTATTCATTCCTGATCGACGCAACTAGGGTTTCCTCCCTTGATCCATGTGGTCGTCTTCATCTTCAATTGATAATATCGATTATTGCCACCACACACTTCTCTTCGCTGAACTCCGGGTTCTGTCGCTCCTCAGCACAGTGTTACGGTAATCAGGCTCTAGCGCACAGAAATTACAAATTCGACATTGCTTGTACAGTTCTTCCTTGTACAGTCAAGTTATGATATAATTAGTTACGAGTGAGTGTAACTCGTCTAGGCTGAATTGACCCATTAAAAAAAGGTTAATGGAAATTGAAGCGTAATATGGCACAACTTATGTCGTACCTTTGGCAATATGGCTCTTTCCATACAATCAAATATTTTCCATGCATCTCACTTTGATTGCGAAGGAAGGAAAGTCCAAATCATAGATGAAGAGAATCAATGGCGGTGACATGACCCAAGGCAAGGGTGGCAACAACGGCTATCCTCCTTTGCAGGAGAAACGTTCCCGGGGCAACATCCATTAAGCTTTTGTGCGAGGAACCCACAAATTATGATGAAATATTTGTGAGGCTGCGATGAAGGAGCTGTGTTGAGGTTGGTCATCCCTTGGAAACCATAATTGACATTTCCTGCAGCACGCGGTGATCGACTTCTTACATCAATGCTTGGTGTCTTTCGATAGCTTGTCAAAGGATGAAGATCGATAATAAATTTTGACGATGAGTATTTTGTACCATGTATGAAATGAGTGTTACGTTATATATGTTTCTCGTAAATGTATATTTTGTATAATTGTAATGAGTATTATGTAGTTCTCATATGTGTATAAATACATTTTATTATCCGCGTGTTTTAAATATATTGTAAAATAAGCATGTGAAAATGAATATTGTATTTCTCGCTAATGAGCATATGATGGATGTACAACTAAAATAAAGAATATGTGAAATAAACATTATGTCACTCATGAATGAGTGTTTGACATTTACAAAAAATACAGCACATTCGGATATACACTATAGGCATTCATAATATGGCTATCAATGAAGACGAGCAATATATATGGTACAATCGGATGTACAGTATTTTTCGTACATCCGCAACGATCGAGTACTCATTTACGAATAACTTCTCGCAGATTAACCATTTCACTTTTCATTTTAGTCTGTTCCAAAATAGGTTTTATATAGAGTAGTTTTTTAGTTAGATTTTGTATGAATAATAAAGAAGAGACGGAGTAAAAGAAAAAAATAATGCTTGGAGTATACCAAGTACCCAACTTGCACATCTCTCTTTGCACCACACATTTCTTATTTATTTTCAATTTTTTTTTTTTGCACCAAGATACAAGTTGGGATAGAAGTTGTAGACTTGTAGTAACAAAACATATTTAAAAAAAATTTAAAAAAAAGATAAACCCCATTCTTAGGACCACCAAATTGGAGACTGGAGAGTTAGTGAGAAAAAGTAATTGAACATTAATACAATTGGTGGCAAATTGGAGCTGGGTCTAGAGAGCGTTAGATTTAGCAAAAGAAAATCCGTTTCAGCACATCATTTATTCCTTTCTTCTTCTTCTTCCTCTTTCATCTTAAATACTCCGTACCAGTGTATGGGTAACTGCCACGGCCGTTACTCCGGCTCCCGACGGCGCCACCAACCCGTCCCCGCACCTCCTCCACCGCAGACCTATAAATATGGTCCTCCCAACCACTCTGCTCCACCACCACCACCACCAACTCAGCCGCCGCAGTGTTCAAAGATGGGTCCTGTTAAGCCCTATCTCGACGCCGACTCCACCTTGCGAGCTCTGGCTGGCGGGGCCGAAGGTTTCGGCCGCTCCGCCATTGGCGGCCTCCAGGGCCCTCTCTATCACGTGACTTCTTTGGAAGGTCAGCTCACGCCCCCTACTCGTTTGTGCATATGCTTCAATGAGCTCCCGCGATAAAAATTTGATCTTTTTTGTTTTTATTGGGCGATTTTGCTTCGGGGATGGGATGAATTCTTACTTTCTTAGCAAATTACCTTACTTTTTTACTGGTCCCTTTATAGTGCAGACAGATTCTTCTTGGAGTGGTTTAGTGGGTAGAAGCTCAAAAAATGTTTGTGTGCCCTTTTAGGAAGCTCAATGAATGTAGACATACTTTATGTCAACATTCATTCACATTTCAATGTATCCAAAAAAATCACGGAGTAATAGACAAGGGAAGGAAAAGGGGAAGGGGTTTGAGCAAACCCAAGGCTAGTTATAGTAGTTTTATTGCAAATTAATTACTCTGTATTCTTTTGAGTAAAGTGCATTGTTTACCCCTGTACTTTTTAGAAATTGCATGTTTTACTCCTGAACTTTAAAAAGTGCACCGATTACCCTCGAACTCTTCGAAAATTGCACAATTTACCCCTACACACTAAAAAATGCACCAAATACCCTTGAACAAATTAAAACGTTGCATCGTTCGTCCTAAACTATTAGATAGGGAGTGCGTTGCTTCCACGCACAAGAATTGCGAATATGATTCATCTGGCCTCTGTGAATTCTCTAAAGTACCTTTACCCAAAATTGTCGTCTTTATTTAAATGTTTAGGAGTAAACAGTTCAATTTTCGAAGAGTTCAGGGGTATTTGGTGCAATTTTTATTGTTCAGGGGTGAACCGTGCAATTTTTGAACAATTCAGGGGTATTTGGTGCACTTTTTAATGTTCGGGGGTAAATCATGCACTTTTCAAAGAATTCGGGGGTAAATGGTGCACTTTTCTCGTATTCTTTTCCCGCCTCTAAATTGTTCTTTTAGGCTGAAATTTGCATTTCTTGGCTCAAACCTGCAGATGATGGACCGGGGTCTCTTCGGGATGGATGTCGCAAGCAAGAACCTCTCTGGATTGTGTTTGACCTTTCAGGGACCATTGAGCTTAGGTCTTATTTAAGTGTTTCATCGTACAAAACCATTGACGGGAGAGGCCAAAGGATAAAACTCACTGGGAAAGGGTTGAGGTTGAAGGAGTGTGAACATGTGATTGTCTGCAACCTAGAACTTGAAGGTGGTAGAGGAGCCGATGTTGATGGGATCCAGATCAAACCCAATTCGAAACACATATGGATAGACCGGTGCAGCCTAAGTGATTTCAATGATGGGTTGATCGATATCACCCGAGAGAGTACAGATATAACTATTTCTAGGTTAGTTTGACATGGATCAAGCATTTGTCTTTAATCAGAAAAAAAAATTGGTCACATATGTTAGTTAACATATATGAATATTTGTGCTGCATTCAGGTGTCACTTCTCAAATCATGACAAAACAATATTGATTGGAGCAGACTCATCCAATGTAACCGATAGATGTATGCGGGTGACCATACATCATTGTTTCTTCAATGGGACAAGACAGCGTCATCCTCGTGTTAGGTTTGCAAAGGTGCATTTGTACAATAACTATACGAGAGGCTGGGGGATATATGCTGTCTGTGCCAGTGTTGAGTCTCAGGTATCCATTGTTTTAAGATTGGATTCTTTTTGTTGTGTTTCTTTGATTGCCTTGGATCTCCCGAGACTTTTTGGAACTCGAGTTGGTAAGAGTCTTTGGGCTCATATGGTACCAATTTTTTTTATATTTTTCACCTTACCAAACACCATCTTATTTTATTTTGCTCACTGAATCAGCGTGAATAATGAAAAAACTACACACACAAAAAAAAAGGGTAAAATTTTTCCTTTTTTTCTGGAACATCTAAAATGAAAGGAGATTGCACTTTTACCATCAGCCAAATGGTACCTTTACCAAAAACATGTTCAATTTGTGTTAGTTTTTTCTCTTCTTCTTTGTCAGATATACTCGGAGTGCAACATATATGAAGCTGGACAGAAGAAAGTGGCCTTTAAGTATCTGTCCGAGAAGGTAAGGTTATATGGAGCATTCCTATTGAGCCTCTAATGCGACCACTATATCGGACATCAATAGTCTACATTGATCATCCTGTTTCAGTTTTTTAAGGGTCAGTTTGGATGCTTTTAAAGGGCTAAACCTATGCTCACTCTGTCCCATAAAACTCCTCTTCCTTTCCTTTTTTCGTGTGCACGCACTTTCCTTTTAAAGAAAGAAACATGTGGTAGCCACAAAATCAGTCTCTTTCTAAACAAATTCCAACAAAAAACTTTTTTATTTTTCAACACCTTCTCTCAAACTCTATGATTGTCAAACCAAGAAGATTTTTAAGATCCTCAATCCAAACTTGGCCCTAAAGGATACCCAACATGCTAAAGAGTCATGGCGAGCATATCATTCTTTTTTTGCAGGCAACTGATAAATCGGAAGAGTGCACGGGCAGCATAAAATCTGAAGGCGACTTGTTTATGAACGAAACACAGTCAGGCCTGATGCCGACAACAGCCAATGAAGGTTGTGTGTTCCATCCAAGTGAATACTACCCTACATGGACTGTGGAAGCTCCCTCTGATGACCTCAAACACTTCCTTGAAAACAGCACAGGATGGCAACGCGTTCCACTCCCCCCGCAATAGCCACTCGTCACTTCAAAACACAGACACACACACATGCCAAAACATATAGCAATAAATAATACTCCCTCCGTTCTTAAATAACTGCCTATCAAGTCATTTTAGATATATTAGATTTTGGATGAATGTGGACAAACGTTATGTCTACATTCATTTGATTCTTGATGTATCTAGAAAGTCATAATAGGCAGTTAATTAAGAACGAAAGGCATAGTCGTATAATGTGCACACAAATGCACATGCACACACATATCTATCACTATATATATGTACATCAAGGTCATTTCTCTTATAGCAATAAATAATACACAAGTCGTTTAAATACAAAATAATCGTGGTAATTTTTTTACCCATATTACAAATACATTTGTTTGACATAATTAGAGGTGATTGTGTGATGTGAATCCACGGGAAATATGAAGTTATCAAGGCATAAAGACAAGTAAGATAGAAAACACCAAGGATTCAAACTGAAAATATTACTCAATGTAAGCATTTCTGCACATCCAAATAACATGACCTACTAAGACCTGTTTTTTTGGGACCAGAATTTCAGAGCTAGATGTTGGAAGAAATTGAGAAGGTTGGAAGAAACTTGAAGGGGTTGGAAAAAATTGGAAGGAATTGAAAAATGTTAGAAGAATTTAAGTGTTAAAAATTACTTTACTAAATGATTATCCAAATAAATATGTAAGAAAAAACTAATTTTAGATTTAAAAAAAATCCATCATTGTTTGTGTTTGAAGTGGTATATTATAAATTTAGATTTATAATGTTATTGTAAATTCTTCATATGTAAATATCTTTTTAAAGTCATTGTTAGAAAAAATTGGAAAAAATTGAAAAAACAGGGAGAAGTTTAAAAAAATTGGAAGTTAAGTTTTCCAAATCCAAGCATGCACAACACTCTCCCTCCACTCCAAAATAAGATTTTCATTTGACTTTCACAGAATTGAATGTAACACTTTGACCAATCATATCTAAATTTATACATAAATATTTTTTTTGATAAAAATATGATATTCCAAAATTATACTCCGTACTTCAAGATGAATTAAATGAAACTCTGTATTAAGAGAGTATAAAAAACTGTATTGATCGCCAATCAACCCACTAATGAATATAAGCTAAATTCACCCTTGCCAAGCAGCCTCTCAAATTTCTGAAGTGTTTGCAATAATCATATCAATGCTTCATAATGGTAAATGGTGTTACACACTCAATGGAAGTAACTGAGTATACAAACTGCAACATGGGAATTATTTTTACATGCCAATACAACAAGAGCTGAGGGTAAAATGGGAAACTTAAGAGCATTCAATCTCAACATCTTTCAGCTTTTTCATTTCATCAACTTACCCTTCCTCGTCGTAGTCTTCTTCTTCCTCGTCTTCCACATTTGAGTTGAACTGTGAATAATGGAGCGGATCGACAGCCATTCTGTCAATCTCAGAAAGCATGGGGCCCGCATGGTCTTTAGCATCCGAAGGCATTGAGGTTGCCACACGAGTATCCATCTTTTCAGCATTCTCTTCCTCGTTAACCTTAGGGTGCGTTTGGAACCCGGAAAATACTAGGGAAAGAACAGTACACGGGAAAACATAGAGGAAAATTAGAAAGGAAGGAAAATGTGGGATGAAAGGTAAGCTAAAAGTTGGTGAATTTATCTTAGATATTTGTGATTACTCATTTTATTTATTTAAGTCTATTATATAGTCTAAATTTATGTAAAACCAAACTTAAAATAATATTGAATATAGCTTTCATTATCAATTCCTTTATCCTTGAGCATTTTTTGTGATCCAAACATACCCTTAGCATTGACGTAATTCATCTCTGATTTGTCAATATTGTCTGTTGTTGCGTTAGGATCCTGTGTAGATGATGATTCCTTTGGGTCAACAAAGGTTTCCTTCAACATCACAGGATTCTGGATTTGAGAAGAACTGTCGTGTTGAAAAGAAGCACGAGAATCGGGTTCAGCATCGTGTTGACCAGGCTCCCTATCAATGCGGGGCCCACGTCCGCGCCCCCTTCCTCTGCCCCGGCCTCTTCCCCTGCCACCACTGCTGCTGCTTGTAGGGGGGCATGTTTCCTGCAGTGACTAGGTGTTCTCAAACAATGAATATAAAATTTAGAATTTTGGAAACAGTGGGGCCTGTGTGATTTCTTGGCAACAATGATTATGTGCAGGCTATGTTAAGAACTCTGGAAAATGTTGTGAAAATGGAGGGGAAATGGAAATGATTTGGTATGTATGATTTTGCCTTAGAAATAAAAGGAGAAAAATCAAATGTTTGATCAAAACTTCTAAATGTTTTGCACATTTAGTTTCTTAGTCTTTCTGTCATTGAAATATAAAGATAAATGAGTTTGGACATAATTACTTCTATATTTGATTTACTAAGTTTGGGCCATTTTTTGGGTTCCAGACGCACTCCACGCAAACTGGACAGAAGATGAACCTCTTTCTGTTTGATGCAACACAATGCTTTTAGAGTTGAAATAATAATAATAATAATAATAATAATAATAATAATAATAAATAATAATAGATTGTAGTACCATCTTGCTCCTTTTGGATTCATCATCACTGTCATTAACTTCGTCCGAAGCAACTTTCCTGGTAAAACACAGTGATGATTTTATATTATGATGAAACATTTCAAGGTAAATAGATGCAAAGTAGAAGAGTAAAGTTAGACAAGAACAAAAAGGTAAGGAAATAGTGAGCACCTTCTTCTTGACATCTCACCACCACCGGCATCAGAATGGCCATAGTCAGGGACCTTGCTCACAACTTCTCTCAGAAAGTCAAAGACATTATAGCTCTGTATGCATTGTTTTCTGCATAGATATCCAAGAAATGAATAACTAAACATAGAATCATAGTCAGAATAAAACTAGAATGTCCACTTCCTACTTAGCATACAACTTTTAAATCATGGCAGTTATGGGGTGATGATGAAATCTGTATATGCAAGTGTTAGGGTAAACAAAATACCGGCGTAAGAAAGGGAGAGGGGATGAACACTAAACAATGATAGCCAAGCTACATTTATGTATTACCCAAGGTAGATTACAAAGCTCATTAGCCCAACAACTTATACAAGAGAATGGAAGAAGATGCTACTACACTATAAGTCACCCGTATGAGGCTATTCAAGAAAAGCAACGACCCTTCTTTCACTATCCCCGTCTATACGCCTCCGGTCTTAATTGCTTGGCCACGCGTCATGCATTCATTGGACTCATACATTGACATTCTATGCGTTTTTCGAAGGCCGCGGGGGTACGAAGAAAACACATGCACCCTCCTCATTGACTCATTCGCCGAATCACCGAGGTACGATGGCCCTTCCGTTGTCTATTAGTGTAAGTCAGTTAGTCCTTACAGCTTCAAGTGTTTCAGATAGAATTCTTGCTCCAAGTGGGATCATTGTATAAAGGCTGTCCTCACTGTTGTGGCCCAAGGCTGGGCTTGGAGCTCGTCAACCGATGATTCACCCCTGCCATCAACCAGCTTAGCAAATATACCTCAAGGATGGACTGAGGCAGTGAGGTTTCCCTGCCACGGCTTCCACTCCTGGATTGTTCAGCCACATAATTCTTCTGGAGTTTCTGTCGAAGAATCTTCATTTTATAATCTCTATTTTCTTCTATCTGATCTTCTTTCAAATCATTTCATGATTCCTTTACTACAGATTTGTTCATCAACTCATTTGAACCTGATCACAGTCCAAACCAGTTCCCCATTACAGGATGGTCAAGGCTAGTCTGCCTCAGGCATTCGCCATAAAACCAATCTTAATAGGCCAGGCACAGGCAGAATGGGACCTCCTTCAAGGCTGGATATGGCTTGGGCCAATCTCCCAACAAACATGTATCATATTTTAATGTGCAAAACTTAGGAATAACCGTAAAAATTGCATTTCTTCATTCAAAGTCATGAAAATATTCATTATCATTACATCTTAACAATGGCCTAAGGTTGTGGTTATCATTTACATTAAATTTTTACAACTCCTTATGTCTATAATCTACTAATCTAGCCCTAATAAGTAGGAGTTTGAATCATGCAATGATATATTACCTTTGGTTCTACTGTTCTAGAAGCTTAAAGACAAGTGTTTATAAATCTTTGGGCTACATCCTTGATTCTTTTAGAGCTAAAACTTTGTTTTCCTTGCATAAATACTCCTTAGGTTCCTAATGTATCTTCCTACTGTTTCTTTTTCATCTCCCCCTTAACTATCATTTATTTCCTTTTATGAAAAGCAATATGCAGTTCGTATTATTTTTCTTTCTTCTTCATTAATCTCAACCGCACAACTTCAATTTTGAGTCATGTTCACCGTCAACATAGGCAATAATTTAAGGATGAAGGGAGTATTTATTTTGTATCGTTACTTTTAAACAATATTTTCTTGCTACGCTGCTCATACTACCCTTCACCTCTGGAAATCACCTTTTCCACTTTAAAAAAATTACAAACAAAAAAACTTCTGAGACTTCTCAAAAATGTTCAGATTTTAACATGCTAAAAAACCTCCCAAAACTTTCCACACTTGATGGTTTTAAACAAGAAATCTACTCCTAAAGATACAGGTAAGGTTGGGGCCCATGCCACCCATCTCACTACTCCCTTATTTCAAAGTGTCACGCACCAAGTATGGTTTGCCTTGATCTGTGACATACTAAGAAAAGGGTCTTAGTTGCAGGTGGTGGGGATCCCATTTTAAAGTATCGTTCCCGATGGTTGATGGAAATGATTAGGCCAATTAGCCAAGAGTGTGATTAGGTGATTAGAAATGGAAGATTTTTCAAAATTGCAAGTCTAATCTAAGGTTGTAGCTAAATGACATCATTGAGACCCAACCTCATCCTCTGTGAAGTTGCCAGTCTACGGCGAGGATGGCCATAAAATACCTATATATGCTGCTGTCTCAATATGACTTAAATTCAAATTAGCAAATGCAAACTTGAACAAAGTAGCTAATAACCAACAGGTGGGTGTCCGGGATAATAACACATCACATATCCAATAATCCAAATACAAAAGGATTTCAGCAATGAGGGTGATTATTTGTTTAGAACAAGACTAAAGCAATGAATCATCTGAACCAGAATATGAGCCCACTTGGAATAATTGATGGAAGATGGTATAAATATTTTCATCATGTGTTTTCTCATTTAAACACTAGTTTATTTTATACTCCCTCTGTCCCAAAATTATCTTCCGGATTTGATTTGGCACAATTTTTAATAAAGTGGAATGTTGGTGGTTGTGGTTTGTGTAGAGGAAAGAGAATTGATATGGACCATATATTTGTTTCCTTAAAAGGAAAGAGGAAGAAAATTTTGGGACAACTCAAATAGGAATGAAGGAAAATAATCATGGGAAGGAGGGAGTATTAAAAACCAATCCATGTTTTCTTAAATACGCATTCTAAGTGTTTTTTACTGCCAAAACTTAAAATCATGTCCTATGTTTTCCTGCCAAAAGCTTCTTCTTTTAGTTAAAGTACTTCTCTTTCAATAAAAAGAACTTATTTCTTGAAAATATGTCATCCCAAACGCATTCTATAGCTGATAAATTCCATTCATAAATTTATAGAAGAAGAAACTTCGGTAGTTTAAGTACAACAGACAAGAATAAGCTATAGGAGCAAAAAGGAGGTTCTCGGAGCTCAAAAATTCCCCAAATACGGGTACACCCAAGGTTAAATAAAAACATCAGTAATTTGAGTTCGTGGGAAAATAAGTAGATATTAGAATACCAGAATTTTATTGGGAGAACAATGCATTTTGCAAGTTTTTGGAAAAAAAACATTACTGATAATGCAAGTGAATTTTTAATACTTCTCGACATTATTGAACTTTATAGATATTTGAATTTTATTGGGAGAACAATGCATTTTGCATGTTTTTGCAGAAAAAAAGATATTACTGATAATCCAGTGAAATTTTAATACTTCTCGACATTCTCGAACTTTATTGATATTTTTTATATTTCTAGTCATTTTCCACATATTCTCTGACAGTATAGAAAAAATGATTACCTCCATATCAATATCTGAGAGTTCAAAAGATGGAAATTTCAAGAATATTAGGATACTTCATCATTGGGTAAACCTATAAGAGCCTACACTACATGCCACACACGTAAACAGTCAAACAGCTCACTAGCTCAGGCTTGCATTCTTAACATTGACGAATACTAGTATTCCATAAAGTTTGCCAAGTTCCATGACTATTATAACACCAAAATATGGGGATCTAGCGCCTAGGGCCAGCTTAGAGGGGGAGCAGCATGAGCAACCGCTCAGAGCCTCGAGTATATGAGGGGCCCATTTTTTTCAATATAGAGGATTTAAAAAATCGTAATTCCTCCATTTTTCAGATTATTTTTCTTATTGACTCTGCTAGATTCCAAAACTTTGTCCCCGCTCCTAAGTCTCATGTTTCCCTCGCTTAGAGAATTTAAAAATTCATGTTTCCTCCCTCGCTAAAGGGCCATTTTTTCAATAGAGAGAAATTTACAAAATGATGTTTCCTCCCTTTCTCATGCAGACATTCAATTTACACTGTCATCAGCTCTTTCTTTCTTCTTTCTTGCTTCTTTTTTCCCTTTTTATCTTCGGCTCTTCTAATTATTCTATCGTTTTTCAGTGAACAAAATGAGTTTCACTCATCCCTCTACATTTCTTTTAAAAAGTTCATGATTTCCTTTTTTTCTTTTAATTAGCTAATTTGACATGTTTTTGTTTTGAAATTATTAGTTTAATGAGATTTATCTATTTTTAATTCATAATTTGATTTATAATTTCATTTTGTAATTAAAATTTTTTAAGTAGACTACGCTAGTGGCATTCAACTGGGTTGTTATGGTGCTGTTAAGTAGACTCATTCTTAAAACTAATTTTAATTCAAGATTTTTACACGGAGTATAAAAATAAGCAGGTTATATAGATAAGCTAATATTAAACTTGATAATACCGTTAACTGAAATTATGTCTCATAATACTCCATATATTTTAAATTTTAAAAAAACATATGCTTTGTTTTTTGCTCAGAGCCCCTTAAATGTTCGAGAGAGCCCTGCTAGCGCCCATTGCCAATGAAGCTAAAATAAATCATTTTTTACAATGTTTTAGCTTCAAGTAAATAATGGACAAAATCTAAATGACACATTATAATTCTCATGCTTCTTACTTAAAAAAGTTTCGGACGACAAATATAGCAAGGTATCAAGGGTCTAATCAGAACAGAGAGTGAAGAGCCAACGTTGCATCCATGTGAACCCAGACCCCAACAGAGTTGGGAATTCACCGGGTTCAATGTTGTTGCGAGGTGTGGGGATCTCCAAAACCGAAGTAGTTTGAAGGAACAAAATAATTCAAATACCAACCTAGCCAGTTGAGTCCCAAGAGTGGGGTCTGGGAGTGGGTGGATGCATATGTTAACCCTAAGTATAATAGATTAATAGGTATAGGTGTTGTTTTTTAAAGACCCGGGCTCAAAGAACACAGAAAACAGATTGCATAATTCCACGAGAAAGCAAGAGGCAAACTAATATCCTTGAAAGGTTGCATATCTGCCTAAAAACAATAAACAAAAGAAGAACAACGATACCCAAGCTATTGCCTAGAAGATGTGTTCCCAAAAGAGAGAAAACACTCAGCTACCGTACAACTCTAATCCTAAGCCCTCCACACTCTCCCACCTAAGTTCATGTCCTCGATCTAATGCAAAAGCCTCGTGTCCTCTCTAATGACCGCACCCCAACTCTTCCTTGGTTTACCTATACCTTTTGTTAAAAACTTAGAATCAGCACTCCTCTGAACATGCCCAAACCATCACAAAGTTGATTAACACATGGTATCATTCACATAAGCCACTTCCGCCTTGTAATGTATATCTTTGTTCAAAATCATGTCCATCCTGGACTCTAGTATTCCTGCACATCCACCTACACATCCTCCTCCCAGTTATCGTCATCTTTAGTATGTGGACGCTCTTAACTGGATAAGACTCTATCTCATACAACATTTTCTTTTTACCACTGTTCTATAAAACTTGCATTTCAATTTGAGTGGCACGCTCTTATGTCACATGATGTGATGTGAGCCTCCACTTCATCTATCCCACTCTGATACAACAAGTGATATCACCATCAATCTCCCAATCACTTAGAATTATTGACCCAATGCACCAGAACCTATCAGTTTTAGGAATGGGCTGGGAAGCAATCCTCACCTCCACTTCTGACTCCTGTGATGTGCTGCTGAAGTTGGACTTTATGTACTCGGTCATTGTCCAACTCAATTAAAAACCTTTAGACTCCAAGGTATGTATCCAACATCCAGTTGACCATTAACTCCCTCACGCATCCCGTCAATTAACAGAATATCATCTGCAAAAGACACGGACCAATGTACCTCTCCAGGATATTTTGTTTAAAAGAACAGAAAATCAACATTGAATTCCCTTCGCTAATGGGATGATGTCTCCTATGCATATTTACAAGACTAGTCATCCACTTGCAATAAAAACTTCTATATGCCAGTTAGGCAACACATTAACACACCATTAACTGTGACATAATGATTTACACAAAGAAAATGAAACTTTTTCAATCAAGGGATGTATCTTTAATTTAAGGTGATTGACATTTGAACAGAAGGATATTCAGCTACACTTAGGAAAGCAACACGAAGTCAAGACTCAAGAATGAAACTGCACTTACAGGTGTGATGAATTGACAGTCTTTGCTCCTCTTCTAAGAGTAATGTCATATGTCCTATCACATAGGTCTTGCAAAAACAACTCCAAGGCTTTAGCTGCATTGATGTTCCAAATACAATCAAAATTCAAAAGAAATAGCCTGACGAAAAGGTTCATAGCAAATAAACAAAATTGCTATTGAGAAAGATACTCAAATCAAAAGATTAACTCCTCAACAGTGACTTACACACTAAAACAGGCACTGCCATTGCAATCTTTCCAACGTCCTCATCAGCTTGCATAATTTTCTTGATCCGAGCCTATGCAATTTTAATTATAAAAGTTTTTATCACAAAGATAGCCAAAATCTTCTGAAGATAAAAGAGAAAGTATAGATATGAACATATGACATTAGAATGCAACACAATCCAACTAGTCATGCACTTCATTAGCTGGTGCAACAAAATCTTCTCAAGTATACAGCCTAAACTACTAAATCTCATGGAAGAAATTTTATCACCATTCTTAGAATTAGATGTCCTCTCCACTCTATTCACCACACTCATTGGATTTTACAGGGTATGTTGTTGCATATTCTTAGAATTAGATAGGAGGCTCAACCTGACAGTGCAAGATCTGAAAAAGGGTTTATTAACCAAGACCTAAGTATTGGATAAAGCTGGCGAGGCTTTTCATCTGATCCTCAGCATCAAACTATGTACAAAATCGGAAAGGAAAAAAACTAATACAATGTCCTCTTCCAGTGGATAGTAAAACATGTGACCAATATTGCATGAGACGAATGACATTGTTCATACCTAATTCCAAGCCCAAAAACAAATAGAAACCATGTGAAATACAACATGTGGAATACATGTGGTGTGTAATTACCACAACAACAACCTAGTAGAATCCCATGAGAGTAGGGTCTGGGAAGGGTGAATGGACGCAAACCTTACGCCTACTCGAAAGTAGAGAGGCAAGAGACCCCCAGCTCAAGTAACACAAAAAGCACATCGCACGGAAAAAGAAGCATAGAGCAAACTAAAGATTAAAAAAAAGAAGCACCAAGAATATGAAACTCACACTTACGAGCACAAAAACTACCACCAGACCCAAACGCCTACCCAGCTATCCTAGTCCTATCTCTCCAAACACTCTTATCTAAGATCATATCCTCGATAAGGGCCAAAAGTCTAAGGTCATGTCGAACCACCTCCTTCCCACTCTTGTTAGATCTAACCCCTTTCCACACTCCCGCCCACCAACAAAATCCTCTCACCTCCCCTTCCCTCTTCTTATGAAATCACTGTATTCTGTTAAGAGAAGTGTTTCTTTCTCATTTCTATCTTCAGCACTAATTTAATCAATTTAATCCTATACCCAGAAAAAAGGATGGCATTTATCTTTTAAAGTATTCAGTGGCATTTCAACAATTTCAAATACCAATTGCATGGAAAATATCATGACACAACCAAATGAAATACTCCAATTGCTACAGTCATGTCTCATTCCAAATTTGATCTCTTTGCAAATTTGATAATGTAAAATCAAGGTATATCATGGGAAAATGACTTGGCTTGGCAAAACTATGCCGACAATAATGGCATATCAGTTCTAATTCCAAGCATCAACTTTCTAGTTGAGTCAATTGAGATATACGATTTACAAAGCAAGAAAGAAAGATTGCTAGAGCCTACTGCTTAGCATGAAAAGTGAAAAGATTTGAACTTTACCAAGAAAAAAACAAAACAAAACAATAAACCAAATCAGGGTAAAACAAAATCCCAACATTACCCGAATTCCGAATTTTAAAATAATAATGATACTACAATTATTATTATTATTATTATTATTATTATTATTATTATAACAATAATTATAGAATGATTACCGCAGGGAAGCGGGTATCGAGTTTCTTCTTCATGGTAGAATTACGATTGTTGTGCTGGTATCATCTACAGAAATTCGGAGAAGAGAAGAACATCTAATGGAGCACGGAACGAGGTGGGGTAGTGGCAATAATCTACGAGACGAAAGAAATTGAATTTCGAAATGTTAAAGATAAAATGGCAAATTGAAATCAGAGAGCTCCACTATATGAATAGAGAGGAGGAGCAAGAACAGGAGCGGTCTCGGATCCGACCCGATCTGTTGTCACGACTCACGAAAACATATCTTCGAATCGGTCAAATGTTGCGCTAGAAAACAATTTCTCCCCTCCCAAAATAGTGAAATACAACTTGGTACTCCCCATAAGATTTATTTACTCCGTGAAAATTAAAATTTGCATATAAAAAAAATTATTTAGAAAAAAAAACTACTCGTATTTTGTGTATTCCATATATAAATTAATGGTGCAGATTATACTCCATATTATTTTAATAAATAATAAATAAAATAAGTAGAAAAAAATGCTTGTCAATAACATAAAATTTTTGTCGGATGAAAGGAGTAATTTGACTCTAGAGTGTCAAAGATTTAAAAAAGTGTTGTAAATTAAAAAAAATGTTTATATTGTTTGAAGAAAAAAAAGATTTTGAGTCATGTATTCTTTTTTTAAATAAGGAAAATGCAATAAAAAATTGGAACATCTCAAACAAAATATTGTGCATTTCTTTATGAAACAGAGGTGTATCGAAGGTAATCTTTATAAAAATGAAATTTTCGCCATTCAAATTTGTAGAATTTGTGCAAAACAAATAATTCAAATTTGTAAAATTTGTGCAAAAAAAGTATTCAAATTTGCATTGAATAATCTTACTATATCTAGTCTTGTATGCAGTATGCTAGTCTAAACTCTTATTTATGATGTTACATTATCTGTCACTACTCCGCTTTTGAGTTAGATGTTTGGGTTCACGGTGGTTGCATCGGAATGAATTTTGAATATCAATGAAATAAAAATTATACAGAGTATTACACATTAATACAAAAATTTACTTTTAGAAAATTATTTGTAAGATGAATCCAAGCGAAATCCTATGGTGGACCTAAGGTCCACATGAACCTTCTCACAAAAAACATTTTATAAGTTTTTAGAAAATGCTTACCTAAGTATTTAAAAAATGATTATCCAGTAGAATATATGAAGGTCCATCATAGCAACATGCACCTTAGGTCCATTAAAAAAATTTCCTTAATTCTAAAAATTTTTTTGATTACCCCGTAATATGTAATGTACTCATAGTAATTTTTATTTAATTGATCAGTTAATTTAGTCCAATTTAATTATAAAAAACACAGATTGGACAAATATTCCATGACAAATGTACATTTACAAGTTACTCATAAAATACAGAAAAAAAATAGGTAAATCCAAATGTACAATATGATTTGCCACTAGTTATTTTCTCTTGGTCTTGTGAAAAACTATCCCATTTCCTTATTGAGCAAAGAATTATGTATCTCACACAATTTTTCTTGCACAAACTCAACTACACATTTCTTTACTGCGAGATGTAGAGAGTATTTAATAAACAAAACATGACAAATTATTTCAAATACAATATTAGCATTCCAAACATCAATGAATTGACAAATTAATCATTTAAATGACTTGACTTGATATATATTACACCCACTAAAATACGAGTATAAGATGACAAAATCCATAGGGAGTGAGTAGTTAAATTTGCGTTTGACTTTGACCATCTTCACACTCCATTGATCTCAAAGTCTTGCCAACAAAAACAGATTCTTTGAGCAGAAGTGAAGTCAACAAATCAGATTCTTTACATGGGAAGTGTTAAGCCATTACCAGCCATACATTTGCTTATATATATGTATATGTGTGTGAGAATGAAATGCAGATTTGGAAGAGGTAAACATTAACAAAATTTACAAGGGGAGGAGGGGGTGGGGTTGTGGGGGGGGGGGGGGGGTTCAAGCTCGAAAAAATAACGGGAAAAAAGGTGACATTGCCGGTATGGAGAGGTGCGCTTTTGATGGTTTATTTGTTGAGGGGACAACCGATCAGCCTGCACTGCTCAGGGAGTATGGACGATATGACTGTGCCGCTAACGGGGAACAGTTCACCGTCAATCCCACAGCCGTTGTGGGTCCGCTTTCCAGGCTTTAGCTTCACAGATTTTACCTGTCATTTCATTCGAACACTGATGAAATGCAACAAGTGCTTAATCTAACAGAGGAATGTGTATGGTTTAGCCATACCTGGCCCCACATCGGCACTTGCATACAAGTTGCCAAAAATGAGAATTTCCTTTTCTTCACAAAGCTTAAATTAGTTGATAAAAAATAATACCCCCCTTCGTCGGGTGTCCGTATTTCAATGTTCACTTACTACATTGTGAATGATGAAATTACCCTTGAAGAGCATATTAGCATTGTTACCACCAATGAAAACAAACTGATTTCAAGGATTTTTTTTCAAACATTCCTTAGATTTGAGGTATTTTGGATACTGAACAACAAAATCCAAAGTGAGCGAGAAAACTAATTTCATCTTAGGTAGTCATTCCCATGGACCTAGACCATACTATAGTGGGATTCAACTGGGTTGTTGTTGTTGTTGTTGTTGTTGTCATTCCCATGGCAATAATGCAGCCCAAAATTTGTAACATTTTCAAGAAATGGACATATTATTGTCTATGAAGTAAATAGGTCACTATCACATGCTTAAAAAGATAAAAAACAACATTGGGACGAGGAGAAAAGTCTGTTACTTTACCTTAACATACTCGACATATGGCAGTGAAATATGTCGGCCCATTTGCAGAAGCAACAAAAACCTCAAAAGCTTAAGCCTTCCATTTCCACGAACCAATAATAAATCCAGCGTGCTATCATCATGCTCGGCTTTAGGCGCCAAAATCTGCGAGCTCAAGCTTTGAACAGTTTTACATGCATGGTTGCAAACCAGGACACCAAGAAATTGGCCTTTAGTAGACACCCATTTCTCTTCAGACTTTGTTGGATTCTCATTTGGAACAACATCCTCGGTATCCTCTGGCGGTCCAGGCAATTCAATAGGAGTTTCTGCATATACATAATTAGGTTCAGTGTCCCATCTCGGTTCTGAATCCCAAATTGGACCAGGGTCTGATATTGTGGATGAAATATCCTCTTTATCGTTTGCAGTTATATTTCCCCAAGAACATCTAGTAGAATCATTTGTGGCGGTTAGTCCATTCCATCCTTTATCTGCCCCCCTTGATTTTGACCTAGTTCTGGGCTTTGGAGTTGAGGATAAAGGAAGTTGGGGATGGACAATAACTTCTGGTTCAGCTGTTGAGATATTGAATCTTCCGGAAGATAACCGTTTAGACTTTGAGTCTATTCCACGCACATAATCAGAAGGCTCAGTGGTGCTAGTAGTATCCAAGTCTGTTGTTCTCCCTGGGGTGATTATTGAATCAATACTTGAGAAGCTCGATGCTCGGGGAAGGCTTTCCTTGCTTGATCTCCTCATGATGTCTGTATACAGTTCGGACATGTCAATGATTTCTTGTTTCCCGTCTTGAGTTGGTTCTTTCGTTGCAGGAAGATATTCTACTTCAAAATTGTACTTTGGTAAACACATGAATTTGAGGAAGCCAGCAACAAAATAGCGCAAAGGGCCAAACCGTTTCTGATGCCTCTCAGAAAGTTCCAAAACTACAAGTGCGTAATAAGACGGGTAGTCATAAAGTGGATGTATGGATAAATACAAATGAAAACTTTTACAGATTATTGGAAAAATAATTGGCTATGCGTTCAACTTTGAAATACGTGAGAACAAACATAATTTGTTTACAGTGTCAGTTTGGATGGAGTTTTTTGGTGTGGATGACTTTGGAGGGCTTCGTTTATCTTTGTTTATTTCTTTATTTCTATAACATCTCAAATGTGTAGGTGTGGGTGTGTGTCAAAATATATGCTTAGCCCTCCACCCACACCCCCCTCAAAAACCTTACAAAATATCCATCCAAACCGAACCTTAATATCCATGGAAAAGCATTTCAATTTCAATAAAATGGGACAAAGGGAGAGTTGTTTAAGAAACAATACAATAATACATACGAGTGTCAGAATGGCTTAGTGTGGAAGTAAATAGAGGGAAAGACTAACCATCACTAACAAAGCCAAAGTATGAAACAGTTGTGCCAAAGTGAATCTGACCGCTTTGAACCCACTCAACAGCAAAAACGTCTGTTGCAGTAAGACCTCCCTGAAAGAAGAAAGAGCTCATTTTAAGTGCAAAATGGCCTAATAGAATTATTTACCTCTTTCAGAAAAGTAGCTATGAGAAAGCAAGATGAAAATTTGGTTACTAATATATTGACACAAATAAATAAGCCAAGAATAGATCCATTGCAAACTCAAAAGACATTTTCTGTACTATACTACTATAGTAACCCAAAAGATAGTTTCCCATTTTGTTTATCAGACATTCTTTGAAAATTAAGGGAGAAATTCGCATTTAAAATCATTGCACATGATTGGAATGGACATAAGAGCAAGAATACTGATTAATATTACCTTGACTATTGCTATTGCAGCAGAAATTGGGTCTCTTACACCAAGAACGGTCCACACCAATGAATTATCAGAACCAGCAGGTATGATTCCAATTGGAATAGAAATAGCTTCCTTCTGATTATCCCTACAAAGTAAACCATTTAATACCTGCAGTTTGCATAGAATCATGTGAGAAATAAAGAAAGCAAATAGCAACCTCCAGTGAAAATGTTCCTTCCAAACACATTAAAGCTTAAAAAATGGTAAGAAAACTTGATCAAATTACTGATCTGACAAGTGACAACAGAAGAGTAAGATAGCTTCCAACAAATACAAAGATGGACATTTTTGACAGGTAAAGTTTTTGCTGAGAGTATGCAAAGTTCATACTCCTCCATAAGATCCATACTCCTCATTAAGCCCAATACTACAACCTAAATACTACTCCGCAAATAGCAAACAAAAAAATAATACGAGTGATATTCTGCTCTTCTACTCAACTTATTTATGGTTCAAATCTTTTATGGCGATTCTACTCTTTGAATTTGATCTGGCTGTGTAAAACAGAAGAAAATAAATTATCATGGAGAAGTATAAAAGTAAATGGAACGGGATATATTAATTAACTGTATCTAAAAAATGTGACCAAGGTGGAAGGAGGGGTGTGGATCAAGGTGATTTTGAAACAGTGTAGTGCCAACGTGACAGGATCTTTGTCCTTTACTAACATTTGCAACAGTAAAAGAGAATCTTAAACCCTTAATGCTCTACAATTAAAATGTGTCCAAAGATTTCAAAGGAAAAATTCAATCAGAAATACCCTACAATGACCCCTCCACCCCCCCCCCTCCTAAAGAGTAAGACATTGCTTGGATAGGCCATGAATTCTAGGGCCCTCCAAGAAACCATGGGTTTTGTTTAATTTCTGAGAGTTGTGAGAACTTTTGTCATCATGAGCATTCTTTTATCTGATTCTTCATACTTCAATTTCAACAACCAAACTAATCCAAATAAGACATAAGAACAAGTTCTACGCCCTGCCTTATCCAAGAGCAATAGAGCATCTATCTTTGCAAGCTTGAATGACAAGCCCTCTGAAGAGGGCATAAAAAATAACAGAACAAGCAAAATGAAGTAATAAAATAAATCAGAGAAGGGAATCGTAAGATCAAATTAGCTGATAAAGAAGCTACCAGATATTCTAACGTAGGCACATCCTAGGACAACACAAACAACTACTACTATTACTACTACTACTACTACTACAAGTCAACACCCCAAGTAACTTGAGGATGGATACATGAATCAAAGGAGAATCATGTTATAACTTATAAGTGAAATATACTAGTATATATTTTGTAATAACAATCTTTTAAATTTTTCATTAAAAAAATGAACATAATAGGCAGATGTGATATGAAGTATTTTACTAACCTCGTTAACAATTCCATCACCTCCAACACATATAATACCTGTAAGTTAAATGTTTATATCCAAAAGCAAATGAAAATTAGATTTTAAAAAACACATCAAACACAAATTCAATTAAATAGAACTTGGAAAAAACGCAGCACCTACCATCAGGGCATGTGCTGAAATCAACAGTTGATGCAAGTTCCCGAGCATGGCCTGCAGACGTAGTTTTGACCACCTCCAACTTGAACCCAGCAAGCTATTAATTTAGATCCATAAAATTCAGACATTTATCAAGAGGAGAACAAAGATATCAACACACAACTATATTTGATATGCTCAGTTACTCATAAAACAAAGTCTATAAAAATAAAAAAAATAAAAACAAGTATAATCAATCTATGGGTTGCCATTTGATCCATAGAAAAATGTTGGAAAATCAATTGTGGATGCGCCATGCATAAAGCGTTACAAAAATTGTGAAAGACAATTATATCTTCAAGTGAATCAATTAAAAATTGCATACTATGTACAATTTTAAAGAGAGCTTCTATAAGACACAATCAGTGCTTACCTTGAATATAGGTTCGGCCATGGTATGGAACACTTTACTTGACCGACCACGACCAGACCGTGGATTCAGTATCACAAGCATTTTAGGTGGAGTTTTGCATCTTATATATGATTCAGGTGGAAATGTATTATTAAACAACTCAGTACTCTGCTTCCTTGAAGACCCCAAAGGATGTGTCAGCAAATTCACATAGCACTGCTGATCTGCAAATGCACTAACCCATTGGATGGCCTCCTCGGGAGTTGAAGCAACAAACCGAAAATCCTTTTGGCTTCTTTTTGCTTTCATGAAACATTTAATAAGCCCATGAGAACCACTTATACGGGGATAAGAATGAATTGTGAAATGCCGGAGACTGGGGCAGTATGAAACCTGAAGAAATAGAAGAAACCAGTATAGCTCAAAGAGAACGAATGTAAAACACCATAAACAGACTGTAAATTTTAAAAATTGGTGAATGGAGCTTTACCGAAATAACATCCTCTAAAACCAGCATTTCAGAACCCCATACCATGGCCTTGCTAGTGAGTTTAGCATCAAGGGCAACCTGACCTTTCGTTTCCTTGGGGGAGTCCACATCAGCATTCTTAGCAGACTTTGTCTTGTCCAGGACCAATTTCCCAGAAAATACATCGTATCCTAAGAGACCCGAATTTTCATCTCCCATGTCAAGCCTATGCTCATCTCTTTTCTCCTTCTTAGCATCACCGGTATTGTTAAGGTCATCCGAACGGGTGGACTTCCTCCCTTTGCTTCGCTTTTCCGGGAAGACAACTGGAGACGATTGCTGCCCTGTTGATATCTGAGAGCAGAGGCCAAGACGACGGAGAGACTGTGGAGACGCCGACAGCTTCACAGAACTATTCCTGGAGAGACTCCCGCTCTTCTGCATATTGAATCCTAGCGGAGGCCAGAGCTAATATCTCGCCAGAAAACCAACACTATCCAAAAACTAAAGCAATGATCCGAGATCCTCAAAACTCAACATACAAATTTGAAATTCACGATCCTTGAACTCAATTTCAGACAGATGCTCTGGAGCTAGAAAACCAAGTTAAGATAAACAAAGGGTATACGAAAAAAGACTGCGAATTAGGGTTTACTGTTCATCGGGGGATAAAATCAGTGACGCATTCACCTCTGACGTGCTCCGGCGGCGAAAGGCGGTGCTTGATATATATTGATCCGGCGAGAATTAAACCGTGGGGAAAGATGGAGGAACAGTCAAGAAGGAATTGAGGAAAAGGTGACAGCTTTAACTGCGTTTTGGTAAGTGCATTCGAAGATGAAACTGGCAGCAATTTCCTTTCAGCTTTCTGTCTCCCACCAACTTAGGAAAATACGGAGCAAATTGGTAAATTAATCATCTTTTTTATTTTAGACAGATTTGTATAGAATCAGTATGGAGTACTTCGTATATGGTATTGGTACTCCCTAGTACTACTATATTTTGATGGAGATGGATAATGAAATAAGATCTAATCTTATTTCGTAAAAAAGTTTCATGTTTGACACTTTGATTTGGCATGAAGATTTTAAAAAATAAAATTACTTAGTTAAAAATTGTGAGTCAAGAGTTATATAGATCACAAAAATTTTTATAAAAGAGAAAAATGAAAATGATATATAAAACTTTTTATTGGAGAGGTAGTAATATTTCAATTGTTGAGCCCATGTCACCTTTGAACTGTCTCTACGCTACTATCATTCAACAAGAAGTCCTAAAAATCACACATGAGGAGAAACAAAAACCGGTGAGTTTTACAGTGTCAACCATGAAAACCAATAGGGAGGTAAACAAAGGGACAAAGTGCAAGAATTTGTTGCTGGTTTTTGTGTCATTGGATATTTTATGTAATTGAATTTACTTTGATCAACAAATATTTCAATATGCGTTGTTAACAAGTTGGGTGGTGCCGAGTGCACAATTATTCAATGATATTACAAATTTCGTAGCAGTATCTAATGCCACTGGTAATACATGTAACGCCACCTGGCGTTATGATACTTTTGAAGCCCATGGGGCGTTAAACACCACCCCCATGGGGCTTCACCGTGGTGTTATCCTTCCAGCGTCATATGTTTGACGCAGCTTCTCCCCCCTATAACGGCTAATTTAGCCGTTGGAAGCAAAAAAAATACATTAATTTTTTTTATATAGATTTCAAACTTCATCTCCTTCCATTTTATAATTAATTTTTTTAATTTAATGAATGTAACTTTTTTTAAATTATTGTCGCTTCAATTTCTTTTGATTTAATGAATGTAATTTTTTAATTATTCTTGTTTCAAAATAATCAAATAACAAAATAATTAAATTTTATTAATTTAGTTTTAGAAGATGTATATTTAAAAATGTAAAAAAACGAAGGTTTGAAGCCTCGGGGCTTCAGTCCGATTTCTACTGAATATGTGAGGTAAGTTAAAGCTGACGTGGCAGAGAGATAAAATTTTGAAGCCCCGGTTTGAAGCCCCGGGGCTTCACGGGTATTTCCAGTGCGAGCTCCTAGCTGGGTTGCTGTGGTGCTAAAATTCACATGTAAAATTTGATCCTCTCAAATATTTTTTAGACTCATCATTAGATCTCTTTATTTTTACAAGATCTTCTAATCAAATCATTTCATTTATGAAAGTTCAATGAGTATGAATATAAAAACCATAAAAGAATTTATTTTTAATAGATATTAAAATATAAAATGGAGACAGATGCATTAAGGTTTTGTACAGTATAGAAAAATATGAATAAATAGTACTCTCTCTGCCCTAAAATTAACTTCCCACTTTCTTTTTCGGGCTGTCCTGAAATTAACTTCTCACTTTCTAAAAAGAGTAAATTTTCCTTATCAAAAGACACAAATACCCTTACAGTTAAATCTCTGACCTCCAATCACTACCAATGCAACAGCTAATGCTCTAATGGTAGTTCTTTTGCGCAATGGGATCTGTTGAATAGCTCCCACCTCAATCATCACCCTTTTCCTGCCCGCTTTGATTGCTAACTTGTTTCTAACATCAATGACAACCCCATCTTTAAGTTGTTTCCTTGTTGTGCTCTATATACTACTCACTGTTCTTCTTGAGACGTTATAATTTGTAGCTAACTTGTTGATTATGCCTTTCTGAATTGTGTACTCTCTGGTGAATATTTGCTTTAAATGTTTCAGGATTCCAATTATTTGTTGTTTGGTAGTGTTAGAGAGCCTTTTGCACTTTGATTGATGGTCTGGTAACTCTTTTGGTTGTAGGTCTGTATAAGGGGGAGAGGGTGTAGCCATGCTTGGAGACAAAAAGGATGTTGAAAGTATCAGTAGAAGAAAAAAAGAGATTGAGCAAAGATGTTAGAAGAGCTGAAAGTAGTCGTAGAAGAAAAAAAAGAGGGGCAGTGGTCATAGTTCTAAGAATGGAAAGTTTCATCTATTTATAGATAGATGAAGATTGGCGGCACTTTTTAGATTTTGGTGGAAATATTTTGGAGGGAAGTGTAAATAATTGCTCCTTTGGTTAGAAAAATATTGGAGAAAAGTGTAAAAAAATCCCTTTACAATATAATGATTAACGAATAGTCATTTTCTTTCATCCTTACAATATAATCGTACTCCCTTTACTTCTTTAAATTGTCTACCGTTGTTAATTCATTTCTTACCCTATAATTTGTAATGAAAGGGGCATTTATGGACAGTCAATTCATATTTTACTCTCCTTAAAAATAAGCATGAGGAAGGGGGAGTATATAAGAAGTACTACCTCCTTCCATGAGTATTTGTCTAGTTTTGACTTTTTTCAGTCAACTGTTTTCAACCTTTGACCAATAACTAAATAAAATATATATTATGTTTTAATTAAATAAACTAATATTTTGAAAATATTTGATATAATAAACATAATAAAACTCTTTTTGTATTAATATTTAATATTATTTTTATTTAATTTGAAGTCAAAATTTAGGAATTTTGACCCAAAAAAAAGTCAAAAGTCTACCAATACTGAAGTACTCCTTCCGTACATCTAAGATCTTCCCATTGCGCGTTACGAGACTTGATCGAATTTATTTTCAATTCAATTTATTTGAATATAGGGGTAAAATTTTAGTATAAAATTTTAGTATAAAATCAATTTATTTTCTCGAGCTACTCGACTAATTTGTGCCAAGGCGTCTCCTCTCTGTCCGTCCGACTTTACGCGAATCTCTATCAGGTATGCCTAGCCCCTCTTCTCTGCAACAGGTAATTTTCTTTACCTGTTAGGTTCTTCGTTTCAGCTGCAGCGTTGTTCCAGTAGCTAGCCATTGGATTTGACAGAGAAAATCCGCATGATTTCCTTATTATTTTTGACAACGTGGTTGTTTTCTCATTGGAAGGCTCATATAGTTCGATTGCGTGACTGAAGAGTGATGGTGTCCGCCGGCGGAGCTGCAGGAGAAGGAGCGGCAGCAGCTGGGCCAGGAGTTGAGTGGCACATAAGGCCGCAATCTCATAAGAATCCCGTTGTCTTCTTCGACATAACCATCGGAAGCATCCCTGCTGGTCGAATCAAGATGGAGCTCTTCGCTGACATTGCTCCCAAAACGGCTGAAAACTTCAGGTCAGTCTAAAACCCTAAAATTGGCCTCTTTAGTTCCAGATCGGTTCTGGAACCCTAACAAAGATGCCACTTGTAGCTATAGTTTAAGTATCCCACATTCGATCTTTGTTGTGAACCTTTGCTCGGTTTGCATCTTTTGTTCATCTGGTCTTCTGCTTGTGTTCTGAGCTAGACTGACCATGTGGATGTTAGTATCAGAAACACTGGCATAGCTTATTTATTTTACTTCTCCTGATGAGTTTGCCTATCAAATTGTGCTATAAGATGTCATTTTTGCTGTCGATTCATATTGTTATTTTGTAGTGGTCAATTTAACTCCCATACCTTATATTACTATGTCTTTTTTTTTCAGGCAGTTCTGCACAGGCGAGCTCAGGTCAGTGACTCACTATATGCACTCAGTTGAAGCCCCATCTATTTTCCTCTGAATTGTTTGAGGTTTATGCATTTATAAGGTTATAATAGTAGTTCCAGAAGTTAAAATCAAAACCTTGAGCCTTAAATCCCAACCATGACAGTGCCTGAATTTTTAGAACTCTTAGAAAATTATTTTAGTTCTCAATGTCCGTCCAAATGTTATGAATATAAACTGATAAAATGGTCTGGCTGGCCCAACATCCAGCGTCATGGAGATCACAATTGCCCTTAGATTAGTAATGATGTATTATTTGCAGAAGGGAATCATCCTAACATTTTCTCTGAGTCAAAACTATTGAATCAGCCAATCAGGTGTCTATGATCTGTAAATAGATGCAGGAAATGCATGACTTAATTGATGGACTAGTCTTAGGCACGGCGGAACTACTCATTGAGTATGTGTATGTGGAGGATGTGCCCCCAGTGAAAAATTAAAAGAGTGCCCCAGTCCAAAAATTGTACCTCGGTCCAAAAAAAATGATAATGTGGATTGTGGAATGAAATTGTGAAGTGAGAAAAGTGAAATATTTAAATATTAAAAGAATATACTCTGTAATTTGAAAGTGGAACATGTAAAGAATAGAATCTGAAAAAGAATTGTTTAAAACATGATAATTAAACTAAGTTATGATATACTCTGTATTTCTCTATTTTTTACTTATTTTGTTATTCCACATTGCCTTAAAAATGCCAATTTTTTAACGACACATAACTTTAGGATCCATATCAACTCATTGTAGCATTGCGATATGCTCCCAGGCAAGTGGGAAAGACCTGTGACGATGTCAATTTTGTGATACCTTCTCATTATTCATTAATGACAGGAAGATTATCTGCTGTAAATATTGCAATTGCACCTTTTTCCATGAATATATAGCATTAACTTTTTTTAATAACTCATTGGCACTATGGTTTTGTCAGTGCCCCTAATACTTGAAATTAAGATGATGATGGTGATTATACCTATATGAAGACGAGGCACTACTAGTCAAGTTTATTTATATTTTTCTTTGTATATTTACTCTCTTATTTAAATTTTATATTAAATTTCACAGGAAAAATGGAATTCCACAAGGTTACAAAAATTCTCAATTTCATAGGGTGATCAAGGATTTTATGATTCAAGGTGGTGATTATCTGAAGGTAGCTCTGCATCTCTGTCTCCCTCGATATCTTTCTATCACGTGCACACACACACACACACCACGAGCATAGATACACATCTAATGTCTTTGTCAAGTTTTTGAAATTTCCTTAGCTTAAATGGATGTGTGACCACAACCAAGCCTCAACCCTCATTCCCAAGTCAATGGTGTTTGCTACATTAATGGTTTGCTTAGTTCAGAAGGAAAAAAGAGTAGAAAAAAAAGAGAAGAGAGGATATTGGCAGAAAAAAGAAGAGAAGATATCGTGCGGGCAAAAAGAAAAATAGAAGAAAGAGTGGGGGTAGAAAGAAAAAAGCGAGAAAGAGGGTATGTGTTTTGTATTGTTTTAGAGGAGAGAAAACCTGGGATCTTTCGGAAACATCCTCCCTATCTTTTGTAAGTAGGGATAAAGTCCGTGTACACCCAATACCCGCAGCCCCACTTGTGTGATTTATCGTGTAGGATTTTGTTCTTTTTGTAAGAGAGAAATAGAGTGAGAAGAGAAAGAAATGCATGTTGGCTTTAAAAAGACAAAATTAGTCTCCTGTTAAGAAAAGAAATACATAGTCTAAAGAAAGACGGATAAAAATAGGAAACAAAAGAAAGATTGTTCTCTTTCCTTGTTTCTTTCCAATAGAGTAAAGAGATTGAAATGTGTAGGCCCCATGTGATTTTCATTCTCTCTTCACATATTCTCTCCCATTCAAACAACCAAGTTTCTCCCTTTATCTACTAGCTCTCTCCAATTTTCCTCCCACCAATCGAAACATAACCTTCAATGTCTCCTTTTATTATATACTCCATTCGTCCCCAAAAGGGCTCCTGTTTTCCTTTTCACGAAGTCCTAAAAAAGACTCTTGTTTTTTTTTTGAAAACATTTGTGTGGCTCACCATCTTTCTCTCTCACTTTCAATCACATTATTTTACTTTTCTTAAACTTGGTGCCAAACCCAAACAAGAGCCTTTTTTTGGGACGGAGGAAGTACTTTCAATCCATGTCATTTTTGCCCTGCCACAGGGACAAAGTACAACCCTAACAAGAACAATGTACACCTAAGTCATGAGATATCGTAGCCGCTAAGGCCATATAGAATCCCCCTCCCACCACACACACCCAGTATCTCTATCAAGTGTTTTAAAACTAGTATGTTTACGATGCTCTAAAAACTCCCACATACTGATATTGTGCTACTATATCTTGTAAATCAGTGATTTAATTATCATCACTTTTGATCATCTCTTTGTTGTTGCTACTCTTTGTAGAATGATGGAAGTGGATGTTTATCGATATATGGTAGTAAGTTTGATGATGAAAACTTCATTGCAAAACACACTGGTCCGGGCTTATTATCTATGGTATGGCACTTTACATGTTACTTCTCATTGAACAAGCATTCCATGTTCCAAGTACTTCTATCTCACAAGACAACATGAACTCTAGACCTTTTTACTAGCATTCCTATATAGGCAAAAGACCTGAGGAATTCTAATCATCACATGAAGGAATAGAAGAGCATAATTGATTTAGAGATTAGGAATTCTAATCACATTTATATAAAAAATGGTCTTTTTTCTTTGAAATTAAATAAGTTATACCTATTGTTATTTATTTTCAAATTTTCATTAGTGGTCTTGAATTTTTTATTCAATTTTCTTGCAGGCGAACAGTGGGCCGAATTCGAATGGGTGTCAGGTATGTCTTGAGAGATTTAGGCATTAGAAATTGTTCTAACAGCATGGCAATGACATTTTTTTCTTCATAAATACTTCATCTATTTTGTTCTTCATAAGCAACCATTAATGCAGGATTTCATATTAGTCTCACATTTGTTTTGTCCTTGCCTCCACAACAATTTTTTGTTTGAGGTTCCTTGAAACAATTTTCTTTACAACAGCAATAACAACCCAGTATCCTGTAAATTTAGTTTTCTTCTTCTTCTTCTTCTTCTTCTTCCCTTTTCATAAATCCTCGCTAAAAACTAACGTGGCTCACATGACTGTTTCCTAAACTGGTCACATGTTTCTTGCAGTTCTTCATCACTTGTGCAAAATGTGATTGGCTTGATAACAAACACGTTGTCTTTGGGGTATGTTATTTCCTTTATCCAGAAAGATTAGATACATGCGATGTGATATCCCTTGTCTCTTGGTTTTCTCCCCATTTTAAAAACTACGACTCTTCTGCACCAACTAGTATCATATTTATTTTTATTCATCTGTACAGCGAGTACTTGGAGATGGTCTTCTAGTGGTGAGAAAGATTGAGAATGTGGGTACAGGACCCAATAACAAACCAAAACTGGCTTGCGTTATTGCTGAATGTGGGGAAATGTAACACGCCAGCCTTTTCTCATACCACCGGTTTATTACTCGTGGCAACTCCTTGTTAGCATCACTTTAGGTTATTACAAGAACAACTAGACTAGTAGAGATGAGATGAAAAAAATAGCGTAAAAAATGGTTGATGTTCCGACATGGTTATGCTATAATGTTCACTGCCTCAGATGGCATTGTTATGAAAGGCAACCGGTTTCACTTTGGAGACTGTGGGGTTATAATGAACTGTTTTTGCAGTCTTGGTTATGCTTACACACTTTATTTTTATTTTTATAAATGAAGAATAGCAGAAAAAACCATATTTGGAGGCAACAGAATGGAAATGCAACTATAACAGAAAAAACCATACTCCGTATTTGGTAATGTTTATTGATTTTCTTGCATTGGTGGACATTGTTGTTGACTACTCACACAATTAAGGTAGTAGGTAAACACCATCAAGCAACACATTTGGTGATTGAGTTGTAACTCTAATCTCTGGACTAATCCTTATTTTGCAATTGGTAACATCCACCCCTTATTATGTGTGTATATATGGTAGTATTTGGTTAACTCATATAAAATTCTAACCATTTGAACCATTATCACCACCAGAACTACTCCTAGCGCCAAAGCCACTAGTATCACTGCCATACCCACCGCCGCCACCGCCACGAGAATTGCCACCATAACCACCTCCACCACCGGAACCGCTTCCGTCACCACCATACCCACCTTTCCCATAACCTCCATCCACACCACCACCCCCGCCGCCGCCGCCTCCCCCATATCCCCCATTACCCTTCCCACCCGGGCCGTATACCCTGCCTTCCCCAGACCCTCCTCCTCCACCACCTCCACCTCCTCCACCTCCTCCGTGACAACCACCCGCCCATCCATCACAATAACCACCACCACCGCCACCTCTGCCTCCTCCTCCACAGTCACCGCCACCGCACCCTCCATTGTTCCCATACCCATACCCCTGACCATAACCCCCACCACCTGAACCCATACCACCTTTCCAACCGTTTCTATAGCCACCTGTCGCAAGCCCAACATCCGCCTCCGCTGCCATAGCCATGATCGTGTTCTTCTTCTTCTTGCTAAGCTCATTGTTATGTTTTTCCATAGATTTCCCTAATCGACGGGCTTCGGTCGCGACGATCACGTGATGCGAAAAACATGGAATGAGCAACAGGAAAGTGAGGGTGAGAGCCCAACAATGCTCACTGGTATAATGTCCTCTAGCCATCAAGAGAGTGAAATGGTAGTTAATTATGACAATATATGGTGGTCGATATATATATAATATATATTGAGAATCCAATTTGACAGTCTATGGAACCAAAGGCATTGGGATTAGATAAAGAAATGTCCTGAGATTTATAAAGCCTCTGCCTTGACAGTCTATACATATGCCATGAAGATGTTAATTGCATGGAGAATGCATGAACGGTAGATGAGAGGGGTCAGCAGCGTGAGGAGCTTCTGGTATTTAATAATAACACCTTGCCTTCTCTAAGCCTTCCATTTAGAGTACGTATATTGAGAATCCAATTTGAAAGGTACACTCAGATGGTACTCATTTTAAACTAGTTGCATTCTCGGTGTTCATTTTGAAGTAACGTAGTACTCATTCTGAAATAATGTAGTGTTCGTTTTCACACATTTGTTCAATACAATTATAGTATTCATTTACGAATAACGTAGTGTTCATTCTGAAACAAAGTAATACTCATTCTCAAATAACTTAGTGTTCATTCTTAAGCAAAATAGAGTTCATACCGGTAGGTGAAGACCTGACACACCAGCTTTCTTTCTTCTCCAACCCACCCGACCAGAGCAGCGCGCTAGGGTTTTCTTATCCATTCAAAAGAGGGACGGAGGACGGAGTACTGGTCCGGGGGCAGAGCTCTTCTTCCTCGATTGGACCAATCTTCACCGGACAGTGGCATTTGACGGCGGTTCCAGGTCAAATTTCTTCATCCCACTGCTCCATCGTTCTTCGATTCTAGCCATCGTCGGTGCTCCATAGCTCCACCGTTCCTTCGGTTTTGCCGCATTCGCCTCTTCTTCGTCATCGGCTTGCCTCTCCTTCCATTGATCTACACAGCCGGTTGTACCGTATAATTTGCATTCCATTTTGGCTTGCTAAAAGCTACTACTTTCGTCTCAGTATATTCCGTCTAATTTGACCTTTTCGTCTCAAAATTGGATATGTTTTGAATCTTAATTAAATAAAAACCATAACGTAAATTGATATAAAAACGAGTTTATTAGTTATATCGATCTAACATGTTGAATATTTTTAAAATTTTACTCCGTATTTTATTGTATAAACATGTAATACAAGTTGAGAGAAATTAATTATTAAAGTTCATATAGTTTAATTCAAAAAATTCAAACTGGGTGAATATACTTAAAACACCAAGTCAATCCATTTTTCTCTTTTTCTGCTATATCCGTTTACACCAAAAATATCTGCATCCGTTAAAAGTGGTTATTATCCGTATCCGATTAAGAACATTTGATTGGTAAACGGATATGGATTTGGTAATCATACATCTTATCCTTTTAAAATCTGCTTCGCATAGACATCCATTTGAGTAATTGTTTATCAGTGCATCCGATGCGTTATATATCATTTTTCCCACATTTTTATTTTTATATTTTATTTTTCTATTCGCATCTCAAAATATAAGACATCTTTATATGTAAAATATGTGTATACACATAAAAATATTTGTTTATGTTTACTATGTATATTTTCTTACTCTATGGAGCTGTCTTAGAATGGTATAGTAAAGAGTAACAAATTTAAAAAACATATTACTCCTTCTGTCCCATTTTAAATTGCTTGTTGTTGTTTATATTGTTTGACTGAAGTTATTTTTAAATAAATTTATATAAAGATTAGGTAAAATTAAAATATAAATTTTATACCTTTAAAACTATATCAAAATGTCTTCTAAAAAAGATGTGATATGACTATGTTATTTTATCGTTTGAGTAATGAAAATTATTAAAGTTTAACCATGTAAATAATAAAATAGGCAACTTAAATCGAGACGGAGAAAGTACTCTGTATCAAATTACAATATAATGAATAAAATCTTAACTTTAAGTTAATTGGAAATTAAAGTATTGTTCATTATGACTTAAAAAATTGGAAATAGATACAAATATATCTGATATTCGATCAATAAGCAACAGATGCAGGTACAATTTTGATTTTTACGTCAAGATCCATTTCCAAATTCAATAGCCAATATAGCAAACATGGTTAGAAATATCGTGACACATTATGATACTCCCTCCGTCCAGAAATATTCTTCCCGTGTTGACTTGGCACGCTTATTAAGGAATAGTAAAAAAATGTAAAATTTTCAAAAATGCACATACTATAAACTTTTAAATCGCCTTTTATTATTAAAAAAGTATTAAAAAAGTAGATTTGTGATAAAATAGAAGGGTATTATTGATATTTAGCCTTAAAAAGCATACTAAAAAAGAAAATGAGAAGATTATTTCCGGACGGACCAAAAAGGAAAATGGGAAGAATATTTCCGGACGGAGGGAGTATTATTGAATAAATATTTATCCATAGTTATATATATATATAGTGGCAGATCTTGTTTGAGATTATGAAGCTTGATGTCGTTGACACACGTATATAATTTGTTTTTGCAAATCTTACAAGGACAACACATTTTTCTTCCTATCTGCCCACCATCAATTCAATAAGTATTTCTAAATCTAAAAACATTGACTCGTTCGTATATCCCATCACAATTCTCTTGAAAACCACTGATTCTAAGGATTCTAAGGAGATAATAAAATTCAAATATATAATCTAAGTTTAACAATATGCTCTAATTTCAACAACTTTAATTATATTAACATACTTTATGTTCCCAAAAAAACAAACTTTAATTTTAAGAAAGAACTTTAATTTTAAAAAGAAGCTTTAACTTCAAGAACAGACTTTAATTTCAGCATCGAACTTTAGTTTTAACAATATAGTCATATTTCAACAACAAACTTTAATCTCATAAACATACTCCTCTTTCAACAACAAACTTTAATTACAACATACTTTATACAGAGTATTCTAATAGAATTATCCAATAACATACTTTAATTTAAAAAATTAAATAGTCAACAATGTATATGATTTGGTTCAAGGCCAACCTGGAAATATAAAAAAATGAGATTGGCCATGTGCAAAATTCACATGTTGGGCCCTATTTTATTTTTTTGCAAGGTATTAATGCTTTAATATTAGTGCTAAATTTGATTTTTTATATCTACTTTTATAACAATTTGAATAATAAAATATAAATTTATATTAAATTTAAAAATATCAAGTAATTAAAATAACAAATATCTAACAATTAGACCCTAAAAATTTGAGAGCAACCTCGCAAACCTTTCGGATGCCCATGATTTGGTTTAAAAAACAATATATATGATTTTCAACATAATTCTAATAATCCCAACAAATACCTAAATTTCAATACCACACATTTTAAAAAATTGTATATTTTTTCTTCATATTGAAATGGTAATTGATTATCTATAACAATTTACAATTTTATTCCAAAAGATATTAGTGGACACGAAAACTAACTGTATTATAAGGTCACTTGTCCTTACCTAAGAGGGTGAATATATGTATTGGAGTTGTAAGTATTGAAGATGAAAGAATTAACCTTTACAGTTCAAAAGAATGAGTTGGAAAACAAGTTAACAGAATGGGTATATTACAGAGTATTAAAACAAAATTTCACTTGAGATTTAAAATAAAATCCAAGAACATAACAGGGATACTGAATATTTTACCTGAGTACCCCCCC